CAGGCCTTGTTCATGTGCAGTGACCGTTTGTTGTGTTTCCTTGAACCAGCTATGCATCTGAGTCTGTTGCTGCTCAATATTCTGGATGGAATCTTCTAGCCTCTGGAGCCGCTGAAGCTGATGCGGATCCATTGATACATCGGCTGAGGAGGGCGTATGTGCTGCCAGTTCTTTCTGCACTGCCTGCTTCACATCTTTCTGGAGTAGGTTGGTGATCTCGTCCAGGTGAGTCTTGGATCCTGCGTCAGCAGGGCTGCATGAAGAGGAGGCCACAGTAGGCCTGAAGGTGGCCCAGGGGTCAGCTCCCGCTTCCTGCCATGGATCTTTCTTCTTGGCTGGCGCAAGTGACTGCTGGATATGGCGCATGGTGGAGCTCGTGCCCATAAGTCTTGGGCCTTGGGTCTTGTGGTCAACGTGCTTGACCAAGTTGACGATAACGTCTGTGCCAAAGGCTTGCGTAGTCCATAGAGGTGGATCAGAATCAGAACCAATCTTCCAGGACATGTGGTGAATGGTTGAGCGGCCAGGCTGAAGCACCCGTGCTTTCCACCCCCAAGTCTGGAGGATCTTGGTCATCGTTGCTTTCTGAGTCCCATGCGGAATGGGCAGTACCTCATAGATCTTCTCAATCTTGACGTCTTGGAAGTCAAGGCCTGGCTTGAGTTGCTGGAAGGCCTTCTCAGTGTTGGCTTTACTCACCCGTATCCCGTAGCGATTTCTTGCTCGCACCAAAGCAAGCGCGAATGAGCAAGTCTTGTACTGGATGAGTGCCCCTTCGTAGTCATTCTTGTTAAGCCAAATCACTGAGAGACTTGGGTGAGGAATCTTTGGATCATCAGTGCGAGGGTCCGCATACATTCCAACAGGATGGTTCTTGACCAAGAGTTCTAGGGTAGCTGCTGGCACACGGAATGCAACAGCAAAGATCTCAGCCTGATCAGGTTGAACTCGTTGGCCTTGAATAGACTGAAATGACCGCCCCCAAACCTCAAGCAGGACCTGGTCAAAGGAGTCATCCACGTCAGCATGGGTAAAAGCACAATGTGCCCCACAACTCTTCCCATTACAGAAAGAAAGCGGTGCATATGCTTGGATCATTTCCTTGACCGGTGATTGGATGAAACGTTCCCAAGGCACTCCAAATTGATCACGATATATGAAGAACTTGATCACCACCGTAGCCAGTGGACTGTGGGCGACAGTAGGCCCCATCATGACCCGCTGTATCTTCTTGTCCCCCAATGAGATCAGACTGCCAAAAACGAGGACCTGTTCACCTGTTTCCCTATAGGTGGCCGGAAAGCGAAACTTCTGAAGCACTGGAACGGCAGCCGCGATTTCATCTTGCCATTCAGTGAGAAGCAATCCAAGTGCATGGGTGCTAAAACTCTTCTGAGGAATGAAACGCCGTGCTTGTTCAATCGTGCACAAAGCCAGGCCTCTTTGTTCGGCACCAACCTGATCGAAGTTGATCTGAGGCAGCGTGTGGCCATCTTCATCTGCAAAGTGCTTGGGCTCTAGTGTGAGGAGCTCCGGATCAAGTGACTGTGGCGTCCTGCTTCCATTTGAGCCCCGTTGCTTCTTGGACTTGTAATTAGCCACCTGGGCTCCATGTTGGGTTGAGGATCGCATCTTTATGTATAGGTCTTTTTCCTGCTCGGTGAGGATCTTGATGTTCAGCCCTGGTCGATTGGCATTGGCCTTCAGGGCTTGCCATGGATTGCGATCTTCCAAGATGCGTGTCACAAGATCAATCCCAAGCTTACTGATGAGCATCCGTGCTCTGGCATTTGAGTCCTCTTCATCCACCCCCTTGGAGACCAAAAGGGTACGGAGGGTTTGCTGCACATCAGGTCCTGATCCAACCAATGAAAAGGGCAGTGTGGCCGAAAGTGTGAGCTCAGTAGGCACCTGACCATGTCCCTGTCTTTCAACCATGATGTTGTTATGCAGGTGGATTGCATCTTCTTCGGTGAAGTATGCTTCTTCTTGAATCATCATGACCAAGTGCAAAACAGCAATCGCTCCACAATGGGTTCCTGAGGTCTGCTGAATCAAAGTGCATTTGTTCACATGCACATGGAGGCAGCCCAATGCACGGCCTACTCGGTCAAAGAAGAGTTCAATCTGCCATGTGACAGGCGTGGAGAGCCCATCAAGCAACAGGACAATCAGGTGATCAGAGAGTCGGCACATGGCATACGCAACCCAATGCCCTTGCTCCCAATAGATGCCGATGCGTGCTCCACACTCTGAGCCACCCAAGTTCCATCGCAGGCGAATGGCATCAGTGGCCACGGCTGGCCACACATCATGAGTCCAAAGTGCGAATCCTGGTGGCCAATAGAATTCCCAAGGCAGATCATGTACTTCCAGAAGGCTTTGCACCTGGACCGCGAGCTCTGCATCCGAGGTGCCGCCCCCATCCAAAGTTGGCAGGTGCGTCAATCCACCTCCCCGGAGCGAAGGGAGTGTTGGACAAGAGTGTCGATCAATGACGAAAAGCACACAGGGCGACCAGATTCGATGGTCCATACGCAGGGGTTGCGCTTCATGGTCGACAAAAAGTGTGCAAGGCTCCAAGCCCAGCTGTTGGGCGAACTGGAAGAGGAAGCTACCACAAGGCTCAATGAGGATGAAGCATTGACCAAGCCAGTGCACAGCGATGACCACGTCATAGGTCGGTGTATTCTTCCTTTGGCGCTTGAGCCTGTGCTGAAGCATGACTTCATGTGTGTTCAATGGGATGGTGGAGTCAGCCCTGATGTCAAAGTTGTTAGCCAAAACCAGTCTTCTCAAAGAACCCCATTCTTCATTGATGCGTTCAGCAGCCAGGAATTCACTTCCAATCAAGCCAGTGGTAGCAGAGAAGCAGATAGGAGGTTGATCCTCCCCCAAGACTGCAACTGTGTGGAGCGTCTTGTCCTTTGCATTCCGGACATGGTATTCGGCCAAGATCTTCCTCTTGTAGTCCTCAATGATAATCTCAGGGGAGAGAGGCACTAAAGCATTGTCCGTCAAAGCTGCCTGCTCAACAACCTGGGAAAAGACCCACAGGATCTGGAGGGGTGACGCTACCAAGCCCAGAAGACAGAGCGACTCCTTGGATGAGGTAGTCCACCTCCAGTTTGGCGATAGTGTCAGAAGGAGAGCCAGCTCTTGTGGGTGTAGGTATCTAGCACCTTCAGGTGTCTCGATGTAAAAGCCCCGTAGGCCTTTGCAAATCAAGGAGGTCATCGAAAAGCTTTGGCTCCTGCACTTGCAAGGACAGGCTGAGAGTGCCGATCCATAGCTATGCAAAACCGATGGGCAGACGTCCGCTCTGGTGATGCACCTCAAGTCTGCACCAAAGCTCTTGTCATTGTAGCAGCTAAGCTCATAGTCTGAAAGGATCAGGTCTCCCATGCCATCTTTGGTCAGGTTCATGAAGTCACCAATCACACTACCAATGTCCGGATGATCATGACATTTAGGCCATACTCGAAGCACACTTGGCAACCAACAGGCTGGTGCCAACACACAAAACCACCGGTTTCTTTGCAGAGGCCACTGGTCAGCCAGGTTTAGTTGGACCTGGCGAAATTCCCAACCGAGTTCATGAACTAGTTCACGAATGGACTGCATGACTGCAGTACTTGATGCAGCACCAGGCACACACTCCAGTAGTACGGCACAGGGGCGTGTGGCACGAATCATAGTGAGCATGCCAATGAATGAGCTGAACCTTTCATCTAGTTCACCCCTCATCAACCCCTGGGGGGAGAAAGGCTGGCAAGGAAAGCCAGCACACAAGATGAAATTGGAAACATTCAAGCTCGCAAGGTGCCCATGTGCTTCACAAACCGTACCAATATGGGTGATATCATTCTGGATCACTCTAGCACTCAAACAAGCCCTCAAATGTTTGCAGGCAAGTTGTGACGAATCGATCGCTAGAACCGTATGAAATCCCATGGTGTCCAGAGTTCTCCCCATCGACCCGGTGCCAGCGAAAAGATCCACAACGGATCGGCCAAGATGCAGGTGCTCCAACTCAATCGGAAAAGTAGTGCTCAAACACAGCTCCATCAAGGGCAGTGAAGAATCGCCACCACCAATCATTTTGATGCCATATCCCGTAAAGCAGTCCCAAACTGGTGGATTCAACAAGGTCACCTCAAAACCCAAAGACACGCAGAGAAAGAGGTCCTCGTCATCTGCGTTCGCCACTCTCTGGAAAGTGGCCCAGGGCACCGTGTCCCCTTCCCGGGGTGCCATGTGGGAGTAGAAGTCAGGATCAATCTGCTGCAATCAGCTTAACCACTGGAAGGTTTGATCCAAAAGCTCCGAACTAATCATTACAGAGACCCTGCCAAGCAATGATAGGTGAAGATATGTGAGAATCAGAGAGGTAGCTGAATAGCGAAGAAAGTAACAACCCCCTACCTGGAACCCCAAACAACCAGAAACAAATGGATGTTTCAATATGGCTTGCTTGAGATCCACGTAGCAAGTGGTTGGGACTGTGGATGCATCAATACATCCATACTGGGTTTCCAGGTAGGCCTGAACCTTCATATCCCTAGGGTTCCAAGTACATCCTTAGAAGGTATTTTGGACCCTCCTGGCACCCACCCCAGTCCCACCTTCTAAGAAGGTCCGACTGGAGCCCCAGGGTATATTAAGCAACTGCGACCCGGCCTTTCTGAGGGCTGAAGAATCGAAAGAATTGTTGTTGATTTGCTATCTATTTGTCTCGATGTTGTTTGACTGAATTAAGTCACTTTCATTTAAACTGCTTCGGACCTTACACGAACGATGCTATGAATATCTAGAATCATTTAGAAGGCGCAGATGCATTCACTGCAATGAATTTAACAAACACAAACGTTCTAGGAGCAAGAAGCAAGGACGCTACGAACGGGGCTCCTGGCCTTACTACTAGGAGCAATGTTCGCTACTAGGAACAAAGGGCACTACGGAATCGGGGCGCACAGAGTCCGCGGAGTCGTCGACGGCAGGTGCTACGGAGCGTTCGACCTGCCGAAGCGCTGGAAGTGCTTTGGGCGGTTTGAGGAGCTTTCTTTCACTTCGCAGCATGTCCTCTACAGCCTCCGCAGCCACGGCCAGTTCTGAAGCACCAGTGCCACAACGGAGCTGTCTGGCCAAGAAGAAGGTGGAGGAGACGGATATGGCAACGGATGAGGAGAGTGTGGAGTCTGTGTGGGTTTGACCAGGCTTTGTTTAGCACAACTGAAGGAGCACATTCTCATGGGGGGGGATGTGTCCTGAACTGCTTGACTGAAGCAGTTGAATGCTCTTTTGAATCATTGCTTGATCGAAGGATAGTGTGATGTTTCCTGAAATCAGATGGTGTTCTCATGAGGAGAGTGCCTTCTGAACGGTGTTTGCTTTAGATTTGTGCAGAAAATTGCTTGTTGGATGCCTTGGCAGCCTTGGCATCCGAGAGCAGCAATCCAAATTTGACACATACTTGTGCAGCATGGCATGTGCCCCTAGACCTTACCTCGGCTGTGCATCAGCCGTGCGTTTTTCCCACCTGCACTGCACAACGTAGAAAGAACTGCTGAGTTCATGTGGAAGGATGTTGCAGGTAGTGAGTCTAGGATGTTTATATATAGGTATTATAAGGACAGCGGGTGAGGATTATGGAAATGAATGCCGGCTTATTGAATGGAACGAGTCTTGCAGAGTCTTCCATGCATCGGCTCATTTTGCTGAGTCCTTGGCTAGCCTTGAGCCATTGCTACCTTGTTCCACGCGTTCCGTATAAGTATACATCATTAACCGACTTATATACATATATGATATGTACTAAGTGGCAGCATGACCACACTTAGCAAGTGGACCACCAGTTGTTTGACACAGAAATCCCTACAAATAAACTGACCACGGGTTGTGGGCACACGGTACACGAGGATCAGCTCGGATCAGCTCGCGAAACACCGACTGGCAACGCCTTTGAGGGGACGTCCATTCGAACCCACCAGGGTCCAGTAGTGGCTACACTCCGACTCACTAAAAGGAAAATGGTCTTCACTGGGGCCATGCCATCCACTTCCATGTGATGTGTTAGTCAGAATGTACAAAGAATACACTCCCAAAAACTACTGAATGACACTGGTTTGGGCACCCTGAGTCCGACTGTTTTCCTGGAAGCCAAGCCGTGGTGAGTTTCCAGGGTCCATGTTGGTTTGAGAAAGGGGTATATACCTCATTCATTTTGTGTGCATGACAACTTTGTGTGCATGTATGGCACAGTGTATCAAGATTAGCCGCTTCGCTTCCTGGATGAATCCATCTAAACCGTAGACAAACAATATAGAACAACGAAGGGGCCTCCCCGCTAACAGTGGAAAAACATATCAAGGGAATGTGAAACGATTCTGCACCTTCGCCGCCTTTTGGTCAGGGAGTCAGGGAGCTTCATTCATTTGGAGTACGTAAGTCCGGGTGGTCGGCCACCTCTTGCCAATCCGCCGAGGATTTGAACATGCCTCTCAAGGATGGGACACTGGCTTCCTGCATGTTGCCCCCTCTCGTTGCCAGCGGAGATATCAGCCCTGCTACCAAACGAGTCCCTTTTTTTGGGCGGCGGTTCTTCTTTTAGAAGGGTACTGGCTCGACCAACGGCTTAAGAAGTGCACACAGTCGTCCTTCAGTTGCTTTGACAGATGATTGCTTGGCATTGGATCTGTTGATGTCGGACACCGTGCGGTAACCAACGCTCGTCTCTTCTGGGAACCTGACGGGAACCCATACGAAAGGTTCACAGGGATTCGTAGTTCGCTCCGGTTCTCCCAACCCGAATCCCATTCGCCCACAGGGGGGATTGGACTTGATCCACCCGGCGTCCGGAACGAACGGTCCGCTCGGTTTCAGGGGATTCCGCTCGGGGTGGACTCAACGACTCCCAGACGAGTCGAGACACGACCTGTCTGGGACTGCCGCCCCAGACAGACCCCTCTGGCACCACCCCAATGTCGGTAAATATGACATACATGGAGTGCTTAGGACTTGATAGGGTCGCCGACTTGACTTTGAGAGGAAATGGAAGATGTGGGATTGATTAGTAGGGTGGTTGACACGTCACCCTTGGAGTTCTTTCTTCATTTTCGTTCTTAGGTCGACTGTCAAACAACCAGGAAGATTTGAACATGTTTACGGCTGGATGATGCTGGATTTTCGGGGTCTCAACGCCATTCTACTTCTTTGGATGTTCTACTTAGGGCGGACGTTCCAGACAGTCTGTCGGAACGTCCGCCGAACTCGCCCACGTGGTGCCAGGAATACTACGGTGCTCAGCCGCCCATTGAACTGATTCGTCAGTGGCACGATCATGGGGGCTGGTACAACCGAAAGGACCCAGGGACTCTCGGGGATCGCTGGCCGTCGATGACGACTGCCCAATGGCCCCGGTCGGGGGGGTTCTTTTTCGGAAAAGGTGGCGCGTGAAAGGCAAGCAGAACCAGGAGAACCATCATGAAAGGATATGAAAGGATGACACTTCCTGAAATCATTAAAGTGGAGTTCACCACAGGTTTGGTGTTTGGAACATGGCCGTCCGAACTCGGGGTCATGCCATCCATATAACCATGATGATTCCAGGGAGTGTAGGGAATGACATCGTGGCCTCTTGGACGAGCCGACAGCAAGAAGAATCCAAGTATAGTGAAGTCTCCCAACTGAGGATTTGTCTCCAAGATAATCCAACGTCCATGCTGAAGAAAAGAGCGTAAGGAAAAGAGTATGCTAAATTTGTTGCTCTTTCTTTCTCTCTTTGTGGCTTTGTGTGCTTGAATTGCCTTGGCCTTAACGGAATTCCACAGGTGGACAAAAATCCAAGAACCCCAAAGCTGAGGGCAATAGTCGTGATTCCAGCTGTGATCCTGTTATCCAGAACACCCATCTAAGAGAGCCTGGAACCCTGTGGCCTTCCCCAGCGCCAACTCTTTCGCCTTCGGGCCTGGATCACCAGGAGTTGGTGAAGTCGTCGCCCGAGCTTTTTCTGGGGTGGAGTTGCGCCCGAGTGGTGGGACACCATATCAATTCACAACTCCCGTACCTTTGCAGTGGGAATTCCGTGGAATTCCGAAGGTAGAAGGTGTTCCTCATACAAAATGCACCAGATCAGCTCCAAGAAGTATTAACTTTGGGGAGGTTTGGACCCTAAAGCCTTCCTGATACAAAAATGGTGTCTCACCTTGGCTAAGAACAGCAACCAGGAATTCTTCGAGAGATTTGAGGATGTGCACTGCATGTTCCGTCCAGTTCAGTCAAACTGAGAGGTGAGCAGCTGAATGGCAGCTAATCGGTAATCGAGTTTAGCAACTAAACACTCCACTGCTCTACTGGATTCAGCTGCTGTTGTACCAAAATAGTTTTATCCTATAGTCACTATAGCAGCTACATGATGCCGGTTACACAGTTTGACGTTCTGAACCATGCACTGGTCCAGGGGCCTTGAAAACGATGTCCCATGGCGTGATCTCAAACCAGCTTAGACTTCTCCGGATCTCCCGTGTTGTGAATTTGATTCATATGCTGTTTTCCGCAAAGGGCAAACATGGGAAAACCCTGGTAGGTGGGCAGAGCAAGGACCAGATCTGCAGTCTTCCAATGCCTCCGATCTTCCAGACTCCACAACGGCTCCGCTGTCAGAGGCTCTCAGACCACCCGCTGTCAGACTGAACCGCGTGCCCTTCTCCGTGCACCGCACCGGGGCGCCACCGCAAGCCGAGCCGAGCCGATGAGGTTCAACATCATCGATGTGGTCATGGTCTCTGCCATGGGCCCTCCTGGTGGCGGACGGACCTTCATCACCGAGCGTCTCTTGGGACGAAGGGAGCCGGGAGTGGGGGCTTGGCCTGGGCGGGTTCTGGGTTCAAGCCGGTTTTCAGGGAGCACGAGAGGAGAAGCGAATGAAGAACTGGTGCTCTGGGAGGGTAAGGGTAGGGCATGGTAGGGCTGCCAATGTTCCGCGTATTTTATTCCATCAATAACCACATCGTTAGGAACTGTTGCTGGTTGGTGGTTCATGGTGGTTCCAATGGTTGATTGTTTAGAAGATGAGTCGCCAATGACCAATCTTTGTCGGGTGGGTTGCCTTCAACCAGACAAAATCGAACCTCAAGGGGACAGCAAGAAGACGTTGCTTTTTTGGATTTATAAACTAAGGTTGGGATGCCTTTAATTATGACACAGAAAAAACTCTTCTCGGCAATCACATGGCTGCAGCTAATCTTCGGGTGCGAACGAAGAGTTGGAATATGCATCCTGTCACTCTTCAGTGTGGCACAGCTTTAGGTCGCTACCTCTGGTAGATGTGTGGTGCGGAGGAAGCAACATGTTGGTTACGCCATTTGGGTGATCAAACCTTTTCGGTGATCAAACCAGCTACGCCTTACCATGCCTTACTACATCTAGATGACCAGTGAGAGGTTCCAATGACTAAGAACATCCAACAACCATATAGACCTAGAATATTCTTTGTCCAGGCGCAATTACACTACATTGTATATAACATTATATAACATATTGTAGCTATGGTGGCATTCCCATCATCCTAGCACGTTTAGAGGAGGACAAAGCTGGGACAAACCGGTTGCACTGTGTTTAGCGATTGCTTTGCCTCGTGCAGCGGTCCGAAGTTTGTAATAGATGACCAACAGCAACAAGGTGAACCACTTATACAAGTGTATATATATATACTATACATACTATACAAGACCTGTAGCTCCAGTATATCAGATACGTAGATTCAAGATGGTTGATTTCAGGCTCACGCGCAGCCCAGAAATGCAGCCTTTGGCAACGACACCAGTATCTCCATGTGAGCCAACTTCCCCATTGTGTTCCATGCCCATCGCACCCAGTGTTTTCAATGCACGGCCAAACACATGATTGCCATTCTTCTGCAAGCGGTCGAGTTTGAACCATGATTGATCTAGATGAGCTGAATATGTAGGTACCCACTGGTTTCTAGAGGTCCACTGGGTTTGGTCTAGCCTCAGCGTTGGATGAGGCTTGAAGAGGCACTACAGCACGCAAAAGCTCTCAGATGGGCTGGGAGGATTGCATTTGCAAAGATCCAGACTACAGTTTCGCATGGAGCGGATAGCGAGAGCTCAATGAAGAGGAATTTTATGGAATTTTGATTTGAATGTTTGAAGCTGTTGGATCCATAATTCCAGGCTCTAGACAGAGTTTCAACACAGGTATCATCGCTGCCTGTTGATTGTTTGGGATTGTTGTTCCAATGTGTGGAGAGCAACCCTGACAAATTCAAAGTAAAAACCCAAGAGACATGGAACATTTGCATGATGGCTGCAAAGCTATTTCAACATGTTCTGCCTCTTGCCCAACCAGCTTTCGATCCACCAACGAAGCACGGTAGCGGTCCTTCGGTCCACCGGTCGGGTGGGGTCCAATGACCCGAAGGCTCATTGTGAGACGATCGAATAGGAAGACGATTTGGGAAGCCTCATTGGGAAGACGATGTCCCTATTGGGGAAGACGAAAAACACCTGCTCAAATAGGAAGACGATGTTCTTCTTTCTTCATGTTTGTCGGAATTGGGAAGACTATTCAGCCTTTAGATCATACATATTATCAATATTGCGGTTGGTGTTGGCGTTTTTGTTTGCCCTTCCATCCTCGGCTTTCCAGACCGATTGCCCCTTTCTTTGCATGATCACCTGGATGACCAAACAACATCATAGCAACAAAAACAATCCAAATGAAACACGAAAAACGACGTTTTTCAACATGAATTGCTAAAACAACAACAACAACAACAACAACAACAACAACAACAACAACAACAAACATGTTTTGGAGAGGTTCCCCAAAACCAAACACCACCCGCTTGGACCGGCTCCGTCCGGTCCCTCCCCGCAAGTATCTCTCAGGCTCGCCTATTCCGACCTCTCGGACGTGCGGCGTGACGCGTTTGGTTTCGGGAGACGGCGATGCGGAAAGCGGTGGAGGTGGACAACGATGCGTTCTTGTTACTACTAGTAAGGCACCTGTTACTACTAGTAAGGCACTTGTTTCTACGTTCGCTTCTTGTTACTACTTATGAAAGATGTGGCAGAGTTCAAATGGATGTGGTATTTAGATGTATTTCGTGTCATTCCATGAGGGAACGACAGAGGGGGCAAAACGATTGATGGAAAAAAACCTGCCGAATGTTGTTGGTCTAGTTCCTTTCTTCGAGGTCGAACTGGGAGGTCTCCACAACACACGCTGGGTGTGATGCATCTATGCACCGTATCTCCTCATAGAATCAGATTCATAGGGCGCGCGACGGAATCAGTGTGGTAGGAAGAACTCGCCAGGAATCTGGTCAGTTTTAATATGGCATTGGATAGGGAGACCCCATATATGCGCTTGAACAAGGCGTTAAAAACCAAAAAAGTAGACAAACACCTCAGCAAGCTGAGGCCTCTTTAAAAGGATACACCCATGTCAATGGTTTCCCTTCCCCCGGCTCCAGCTCAGCTATACAGAGGTGGTTTGTAGTCCTCACATACCTCCGGTCTGAATCGGATTCCAGGGCTTGGTTCATTGGTGTGCTGTATTCCCACGCTTTGGAAACTCGTTGGATCTTTTGGGCACCCGAACGTGCGTATATATATATATATACACAGTATATGTATTATTACACTATGTATGAATTATCATAACGTATCATGGACACATATAGATGGCCGTGTTCCCGTTCAACTAGGTGCTTTTGGGGATTCATGTTGGCTGTGAATTGGTGTTTGGGAGGCAAGGTTGCAGTCACCACAGCTTTGTGGGTGACTTGCTGTGCTTCATTCATGACCTGTCCATCGTTGTGGACATCCGTTTCAAGGACTTTGGGTCAGAGTCCATGGGTCAGACCAAGGACACAGACACACCTTGGCCAGGTGTCTATCAAGCACATTTTCGCTGTCATCACCAAACACTTCTTCGCGGTCCGGTGGCCTAATGTGACACTGGGAAAGGGATTCTTCAGCTATATTAAAGGAACATGACCATTCCATGCTCATAATGGATTGAATATGATAGACCGTCCATGCGAAGAGGCGTTCAATCAAATTTTGGAGGTGATATATTTTGCATACATTAATCAAGAGTTTGCAGTCTACATGTTTCATAGCAATTGGCCGGTCCCATTGACCTTGCCGATGTGCATTGCAGGTCTTTGATTCAAGCGTGCAAGAAGTGGTGCCCAAGATGATCGATTGTACCATCAACGTGTTCAAGCAGGCGCAGCCGGCGCAGCAAGCAGCGATGATTTGGGTGCACCTCAGGAAATATTGAGGATAACCTAACAAATTAGGGTGGAACAGACAGTCTGAGCGTACACAAGAAAGTGAACACCACAACTGTGCATAATCATAAAACTACGTTTGTTAACGATCCCTAATACCAGAAGCCATGAATCACATTGCCACGGCCGTGGTGTTTGGAATTATACCACATGGCAACGGTTCAGGGCATGTTTGCATAATCATATATAATCATAAACTATGGTTGAATTCCCCGAACCCTTTGAACATTCCGCAGTTGAAGGCCGCTGAGACCTTTGCCTTTGACGGACTGCCAAGGGAACATAAGGGAACATGTAGCAGACATACTGGACGCTGTGACAGTACGCTTTCCCTGATTCGATATGAGCTGGTTGGTTTGTGACCAACTATTTTTTGGGTAAACATTGCTCACTCAACAAGATGAAGTCAACCTACTGATCCTTTTATGGCTCAGGACTGTGTTAGATATCATGTTGAAGATTGTTGAAGCACTCATCCGATACATTTTACGGTCAATCCTCTTCAGCATTTCCAGGTGAAGTCCCCAATTTATATCGATGCGGTTCTCATGGGGAACAGCCTCAGCCGGCAGTGTAAGAGAACTGCTCCATGCACCCCCCGCTGAACACATGGAAGTGGTAACCTGCCCGCGTGCTGCCTCCGTGTTTTGTTCCAATTCCATATTAGTAAGTGATTGTGTGATTTCAAATGCACTGCATATATAAGGCACGTGATTTGCTTTGACTGACTTTTTCCATCTGGAGCTTTCTTTGGCAACCTACAGCACCATCTCAAGAAAACCAGACATGACCACACCACAGCTTCCGTGCTCTCGGTTCAAGGACCAGAGATGTGTTACAAAGGCATGCTTTGGCTTTCTGGATGGATTCAATCCGATTCCAGTTCCGATTCAATCCAACGATGTTCCTGTGCAGAGTGCAAATTCCAGCTAAGCTGGAGCCGCTTTCTACAAGCAGCTACTTGTAGCTCATACGAACCAACAAAAGATCGATGCTTTCACAAAGTTTGGCAGGTGTCATTCTCTCAAAATCAGCTGTTCCCCCAAACTTGGCCTTGGACCGGTTCTTTTTCTGCTAAAAACACCAAGCACGGTGCCTCCGGAACAGCCGGTTCCGGCGGAACAGCCGGAGCTCCGCCGGTTCTGATGGCGGGCTTGGATGGATACAAGAAGAAGGTCCGGGAGGCGCGAATGGGATGGAGCTGGGGCGAACGAACTGAACGTGGCTCGGCGCTTTCTTCCTGATTCATGAAGAGTTCCATCTCTGGTGGAATCCAAGCCTGATGTGAGAATGGGTAGCTTTTTAAAAACCATAAGCATGAGTGGACAAATAAATGGAATTTCGGATGTATAGCAGACGGGTGGACGAGCGCTTTTTGCTTACAATGTCCATGGTTGCGGGTGTTTCGCCATGGTCAAAGGTTTGGAAACATTGCTCGCACCCATTCGGAGACCAACACCTCATGAACAGCCAAAACAAGTAAAACAAACACATGGAACGGGGCCAGCAGCACCCAGTTCGGGTGGTAAATAGACCCTTGGACTGGGACGATGCGTGCTCTATCGAATACAAACACCCAAAGTGGGTGGTGCTGGTGACTTGCTCACCTTGCTGGCTGGTTCTCGTGTTCCCCGACCTTCCGATGGGAAACTCGGATCCGGATCTCCCGGTTCGGTTTCAGGCACGCACTGAGCCAATTGCTCTGGTCAAACCCTTTGGGCTCTCCCAGAATAGCGAACATCTACAGGAAACACCCGTGGTTTTTTCCCCAAAACTGGGTTGCAGATGTCCCTGTAAACTCATGAGCTGCTCGCTCCTAGGCCATGGAAGCGGATGGCGTCCACCCGAACTTCCTGCAGGATGCGCACTGGGCAGCCTGGCTGGCGGTTGGTCAATGGTCGGACACATCGAGAAGTGGACCATTGTGGGGAAGATTTCGGCCGGGTACCGAACCAAAAACGTCCATAAGGCCTTCAAGTAAGCCTTCCAGTGAGGCCTTGGGGGGCTTGGGGCACACAGCCGCACCTGACTGAGCTTCAAAAGGGGGATCCACTGGACCCGGAAGATGGGATAGATGATGCTTTTGCTGCATAACATGTATGCATATGTTTATATATACCTAGCACTTCCTGTCCGGGTGCCCTGGAGTAGGGTAGTCTGTTTACGTCGGGTAGGGTAGTCGAACGCCAGGACACCCATGTCCAGGATGATCCTGGTATGTTTCTTCTTGATCTTACCTTATCACGCTGCTCCCAGTCGACTTGCGGCCTCACTCACCAAGCCTGTCCGACCGGGCGGGAACTGATCTGATCACGCCGGAGGATCGGTCGAACGAACGAGGTCCAACTGTGGCGGAAGCACTTCGAAGGAAGCGCCCTCCTGGACCCCGAGGCGGCCGCAGGGTCAGATGGGTGTGGCGTATACCTTTTGGGCGGCCCAGCCGTGTATGGGGTTGTGTCCGGTGAGGTTTAGGGTGGAGGATGGTCCGCAAGTCCTGAAGTGCCGCCTGAAATATGGAAAACATCTCAAATCTGTACAACGGTGGGGGAACTCTGTGATACTCTGTGAGGAATGTTGATCCAGGTTTGAAAGGAGGGACTTGTTGCAAAACCTGAGCTTCAAATTGGGCCACATGGATGCGCTGTTCTGAACACTTTAAGACAGTATAGAACCACCCCATCATGTTTGAGCCACATACCACATTGTGTCAATGTTTGTGGCGTTTTACGGTTTTCTGGATCATCCAGTTGTGTCCTTTTGGATTGGAAGTGTTTGAGGAGTGTAGGACACCAATTCGGCTGCAAACAGTAAAACACCTAAAATGCTTGGAAACCAAAGACCTGCAGGCATCAGGAGCTCTAAAAACCCTGTTTGGGGTGGGTCTAGCTATCCTTTGAGGGGCTTCGAGAACCGGATCGACCAATGGTCATGGCCCTGAACAATGGGTTTTGCCCAGGCTCCTATTGAACAAAAAGAGTCCTGTTCCATGTCTCAAGCTCATTGGTGCTTGGCGAAAAGGGCGGTTGTTTTCACCCTGTAGCAGTGGCAAGATGTTCATAACTTCACAACAAAATTCTGAAGAGATTCACAGTTTCACCAAAATCTGGACTACACTCCCTAAAATCATCATGGTTATGTGGATGGCATGGCCCCAAGTTCGGATGACCATGTTCCAAATACCAAACAGCTGGTGAACTCCACTTCCACACCAGTCAGTCAATAGTTTTGTTCTATGTGTGTTTTCCTCATGTGAGACCAATGACTCTCACCTATATACTACAAATCCACCGTTTCGAGCGATTCTGGGTCTTCACATCGACGGTGCGTCGGTGCCCTGCCCCTCGGCAGGTGCCCTTCGAGCGGCCCATGGAGGAGACGCCCCTGGGCGATGAAGCTGGAATCGATCCGGTCATGACTGTCCGGTCATGTACAGCAAGGAGGAGTCGATTGTTGTCCTACAGCTCCTGTTGCCCTACTCGGGTGCAGTTCGGAAAACACATTCAAAATGCACGTGAAATTCCATCCGGTGCAGATGAAAAACCGGCAATGTTGGCTCAACAGACTCAACAATGAACAAAAGCCATGGACGCGCAGGTTGGCTGGGCTGTTTCCCCTTCATTGTTTTACAAGTAAGCTGGAGAACACTAAAAACTGGCAGGTGGGTAAACAATGAACCAACAATTCACCAGTCAGGTGGGGTTCCTGACAGAGTCTCGCTGAGGTTTAAAGATTCCAACTTGCATCTTGGCGATGGGCAACGGTGGCCGGGGTGATGGCCCAGGTGATGTGGCTGGGTAGGACTTGGAGCCATAAGTTAACTTCAGAATTGAATATGTATATATATATATGAATATAATACAGTTACTAATAACATATATACGCACCGAACCCATATATGGGTTCGGTGCGTTTTCCCGGCCCCAATGAAATAAAACTACAACTAGCTATCCAAAAAAAAACAACATATATATATATATACTCGTACTATATATAGATTTCTCAAGCATCCCAAGGCACTTTTCACGCGTTTGGAAGGTTTCAGGCGCGCTTGGATGGTTTCTTCTCCCAGGCGGTAGTGAGTCCTTGAGGACTCGACATGCTGTGGGAATTCGCGCCAATTGGTGTTGGAAGTCAACGCAAAACACCGGGATCATGCCCATGCACTTGCAACTGATCGATTTTGGCGATTTGATTTCCTCATAATTCATGACATTCCATGGTCCTTTTCTGCCTTGGAGTCTTGAAAAACGCATCCTAACTCTTTTCCCATTCCAAGGCGCGTCTTGCAGTGGAACCTGCTAGCCGAAGGCCTGGTGCCAGAGGGCTTTATGATGCCCTTGGTGTCCAAGGCTCATGTGCAGCGCTCCGCATCGCGACAGCAAGTGATTGGAACTCACACGAGTGGCAGTCCTCCTGGAACTCACATGGAAGTGGAAAACCTCCCCGTTTGGTATTCGGCACATGCTCATCCGAACTAGGGGCGAGCCATTCACTTGCATGTTATTTTCGGGGAGTGTATACATTTCTTCAAGTGGTATTGGGAGGAAAGTGTTCAAGGTTGGCTGAGCCTGAAAAGCCGGAATTTGTGGTTCCGAAATCAATCACGTTGAGAATCAATCACGTTGAGCAAGGCTGGACATGATACACAATACTGTTTGGCTGGACATGTGCATCACGTAGAGCACTTGAGATTTACCAGTGACTGGCAGAGAAAAGACATGCACAGAACACACAACAGATCATGAAAGCCTGGTTTTGCTTACCTAGAGCGATGTTGATTCTCCCTGTGTGTAGATCCCTTTTTGGTAAATATGTTTGTGTTGCTTTCTGGAGTCCATGACGTAAATCCATGGATTCACCATCCACAGAACGCATCGCCATCCACGTGTCCGTTCATCCCTCACGTGTACACACACACTGAGGATCAATTTCTGCAGACCTTATTGCAGACCGGCGAACCAGAGGATCAACGTCCGGGTGGTTGAAGAGAGCGGATGGCTGGGATCCTCGATTTTGGAGAGAGACCTGGTCTAAGTCCAGATTCTGTGCTTCGTTGGAAGCAAGACGCACGCGCTGTGCTTTGTTGGAAGCAACTTGTTAACTTGTTGGCTGGACATTGCAATAGCACGCGAGTTGTATGATTTAATATTCAAGATATTTCGAGATATTGAAGTCGATAGCACTGCTTCGATTTAGTTGAGCAACATTTGTGTTTAAATCTATAGTATCCCCCTGACCCCCCCGAACATCTCAAACCGTTGACGATCACAGACTGCACCTGTTCGACTCACCCACACTCGCCCGACCCGACCGTTGGAGGATCATTTCCTCGGTTCGTTTTTCGCGGCCGCTCCAGGATCTTCGTACGGCGGCCAAGCTCTCCTCCCAGGGCTACCGAAGCTTCGTGTGGCGGCAAGGTGGGGCGATCCTGGGGCTTCGGTGGGGCTTCACGCCGCAGTAGCTTCAGAAAGCCCCAAGAGGAGTGCACCCAGGGATGAAAGGGAGCTGGACGAGGGCGAAACGCACCTGGCGGATTCATTAAAAAGATACTTGTACCATGACAATATGGATTAATTAACAGTGTCAGGCAGATGATGTGAACATTATACAGTGGCTATAATCGTTTATTCCTGACATATTCAGTGAGTGGTTGCTGTGCAAGTTGCATGTGAGGCTGTGAATAAAAATCCATCGCCAGGTGTAGAAGCATCAGTCACGGCTTAAGCATCCACGGGTAACCCAAATTGATAGAGGGCTGGAGCCCAGAGTGTTGTGAGCTGCCCACTTTTTAGACTAGTAATGATTTCTGAGAAGAAATCCATATATATATATATACTGTATATAAACCTTGACCTTACCATTTAGGGGGGGTTGAAACCACTGTAGATGTGCAAGAGATACATTCTGGTGGAGTGACTGGCTGTAAAAGACAAGTCAACCTTTATAGGAGGTGGAGGACATTGGAGGTCTCTTTGGTTCATGCATGCACGTTTTTGTTTTTGCATGCTTTTCCTGCCTTTACACGACATGGGCCGATTCTCACTATTTAACTATATACAACATATTACAATCGATTCATATATGAGTAAAAAGGACACCGCTTTTCATGTGGTTTGTTCTCGCCTGATGGTTGGTTCCAGGCGAGGATGGCAGCGACCAAATCCACTGGGAAGAGTTTGCACGCATGGCTTGCAACATGGTGCTCGCCATGAAGGGCTTGCCGCCCTCACAGAAGGAGGAGCGGGGCTTGGATTTGAAGAAGAGGCGCGGTGGAGTGGAGGCGAAGATGGACTATATGTAGAATCTCGATTGATGAACTCATGAATAGATTGTACATCCAAATGGGTGGGGTTATTAATCAACATTCTGGCATTGGAATATTTGTTGGCATTCTATGTGATACATCACGTGTTTTGTGTGTGTTCATGATTGGCAAGGGGATAGGCCGAGGGTGTGCTTGACAACGGGAGCTACATCTTGTTCTGGACATTTATGTCTCCGGCCACTTGGAGTGAAGCACACCGAAGTTCTTTGCCGTGGAAGGTTCAAGCCGAGGACGTGTTGTTCTTGTCTCCGGCTTGTTCCAGATCTTGCGGCATGCCTGGTCGCTGGCGCGGCAGGTACAACCCCGACCAGGAGGGCCCCAACAGTGGCCAGCTCACGGTCAACGAGAAGGCCGTGGTGGGCCCTGAGCATCGTCTCCTGCGAGTGGCCGCTCGGATGCGAAGGTAGAAGGGGGGAGGTGGAAGGGAGGTCGATTGAGAGTACTCTGCTGAAGGCTAACATGGACCCTATAGCGTGTAGAGGGAAACAGTTGAGGGTGCCTTCTTCTCAGGGTCCAAGTTTGGTGGAATGTAGATGGCGCAAGGGCCTCCAAGTTTGGTGGTTGATATGGATGCCATCTACTGTTGAAACCATGGCGAATCATCCCACCTGGAGGAATGACCATGGAGTCCAAGGCTCGTTCTCTTTGAGTCCGGGAGGCATCGTGACCTCGTGACCTGAGTTCAATAGAATCATTGGCCAACCATGTCGGAGCTGATGGTATAACGTCCAAACCAGTCAAAACCACTGGTTGCTGTTGTTCCTTTCAAGCTACTTTCAACAACATACATCTGGATGTGGAACGACCACCAGGGAAAACCTAGTTGGTAGGGGAAAGTCGTGTTTTCTACCTCCTTCATGTACGCAAGGGGCAAATTTGGTGTGCCGCACCCAAAGCAGGGACAGGTTCTGGAAATCCCTGCAGCCAGCAGCAAGCACCAAGGTGTGGTTTGTGGCGCTGTTGCAGCCTGATGTCATTTGCTTCCAGGACTGAAGCATGTGATAGTGCTGGCAGCGAGGAAACGACAAGTGATGCACAAACAACTGCAGGAGCCATCCAGCAGCAACACTTTAAACTTTAGTTGTGTGTTGGTGCCGTTGGCTTTTCCAATCCTTCTGTTGCTTGAAAAAAAACGCTCCGTCTCACCCATCGGGCGTTTAAAAACGCTGCAGATCTGCTCCAAACGCCTGCAGATCGGCTGTCCTCCCCCCGAAACCACCCCTAACCTGTGTTGCCGGCTCCGTCCAAACCCCCAACCATGGGTCCATGAGTCCATGAGGGTCCCGCATCGGCCTGGCCGCCCCATGACCCCCAAAGCAGACACCGCAACGGTCGGACCAGCTGGGAAAGAACAGCCCTCGGTTGGCCGTACTGTATATCACCACCATGAGCACGAAAAACGCACCCAAAGCCGTGAGGTGAAAAAACGCACCCAAAGCCGAAAGCCGATTTGGGGTCTTTTCATGCTAGGAGGTGGACAACTTTGCGTTCTTGGCTCACGAATTGCAGAAGCTGGGCTACGCTTGCAGCTCCGTGGGCGCCAAGGACTATGTACCCTTGAAGGATCGTACGGGCAGCTACGGCCCGGAGACTCAGACACGGCCCAGGGAAGTGGATGCGGGACCTAGAGTGCCTTTTGCAAAGCCTTCCATGGCCAGTGGTTTTTGGAGATACTTGGAGGCTCAGAACATCCTAGAACCTTTCACCAAGTACTGTTGACACTCCTTTCCGAGACTCCATGTTTGGGTATTGTTTCTTTTTTTGAGCGGTCCATGTCGGCGGCGACCGAGGGGAGCGCCTGGCGCAATCCGAGTGGTCCTTTGCGCCGAAGAGCGGCGTGAAGCGCGGGAAGTCAACGGCGCGACACTTCTTGGAGAAGAGAGTGAAAGACGGTGGTCACAAAGCGTGCCTGGGCGGAAGTGAAGACCAGGGCTTTGGCACAGGGATATTAAGGATCGATTATTATAGGGTAACACTATGGGATACTATAGAATTACTATAGAATATCATAGATTCACTGTAATTAGATACCCGTGAGATAGCTCAAGCTGATGGTTGCTAGGACTACCCTGTTTCGAACACAAGATCAGTGGGAACTAGACCTTTTTTCTTCAGAGTTCATCAAAGTGTTGTTCAGAGGTGCATCAGTTACAGTGCATGTTACAGCGGCCTCAGACTAGGTGACTAGATGGCACAACCCCCCACATGTCTTGTACATTGTGGGTCCATACCTGCACCACCAACCTTGGGAATTGTGCCATCTACTCTCCATCCACTACTCCAAGTTGAACAAGTTGTTGTTGTTGTTCAGTCTATGTTGTTCTTGTGGCGGGCTGTTTTGACCATTTTGGACCCTGGACCGCCGGCAGACGGCAGAACTCGATCGAGGCCTGGCAGGCTGCGACCTGTTGAATGACAGAACCTTTACAAACCCTAAGAGGTCCTAGACAGATGGGGTCCATATGCACCACCGACCTTGGGGTTTGTGCATGTTTGTGCCACTGATTATATAGATGTGATTAATTAGATGTGACTAGGAATTGCCTCAAGGCAAAGAATAGCACGCCAGACACACAACCTCCTCCACCTGTACTGTGTGTGTGAAGCCAGACGCAGGTATCATTGGAGGGCTACAGTGCTGGGAGGGAAGTGTATATGTGGTAAAGGTGGGAAAGGATGATAATGTTAGAATGCACTATTTGTCAAAATGTTGAACTTCTGTCAAAGCGTCTCTGAAAGCGTGCCAGACATCTTGTCAACCCACTCACCAACCATCCAACATCATCCAACCATTGCTACCCTACCTCCAACCATCAGCCCGAATGAGTGAACACAGGACCATTGATGGGCATCAGTGGCCCATCGATGATGATGGCCAAGCCATTTTCTGGCGCAATGATCGCTTTGAGATCGTCGGGGAGCCAGTGCCTTGGATGGGACGTTTAGGATGCTCTGGAGCCTTCACTGGTCGACATTTGGACGAAAAACCATGCGATGTCAAGAACCAAGACCTGTGCCAGATCATCCATATACAGTAAAATGTTTTATATGACACCGTTTGTGCTATAAACATGCATTTGCCTCATGTTTGACCCTAATGTCAGTAACCTACTCCTTTATGATAATGGATGGATGGTTTGGGCCGTTTGGGCTCGAATGATTTGGGATGGTTTCTGTGGTTTGGCAAGGCTTGGGATGCTCCGAGAACTGCAGGTTGATCAAATGACTCGGTCGTCACAGCGCATGTGTGGCTCCACCTGATCAGGTCGTAGAGGGGCGGTTCGCTTTAAGCTTTGCACGTGAAACAGACGGTGAACTGTATGGTTCACGTCATGGAGACTTCCCTTCAGCTTCTATCAAACACCCCAAACTGGATGGTGGTACAAACGCCATCAAACACCTGCCCTCGGTGGTGACCCTCTAACTGAGTGATTGAACATCCCCAACATGAACAGGTATATATACACAGCGTTCACCCAAGATGCTTCCCAACTGCTCCAGCTACCTTCTCATAGACCCTACACACCCATCCCCAACACCACCGTCAGCTTTGTTCGCTCACTGCAGATCCGTCCGTCCGTGACCCGCCGTCCTCGCCAACCTCGTTCCAGGAGTTCTTGGTGCTCCCGGGCGATGCCGACATCGATGCCTTCTTGGACGGCACGTCGGAAGAGCCAGGAGCGGGAGATGCGGTCCAAGCGGTCATGGGAGTCTTATGGGAGTCTCATGGTTTCGAAAGCGCTCTCTTTCCTGGCGTTGTTATAGTCTCATGGTTTCGAACGCGCTTTCTCTTTCCTGGCGTTGTTATAGCGCTAGCGCTTGTTGGCCATTTCAGGTGATGCGTGAAATGGCCGACTCCCGTGCATGATGGACACAGCGTGTTGAAGGGCTTGGGCGATGATGTGCATTGTTCATTCTTCGCAGGGCATTGAGGGTTGATGTCACACCCCTAGTTGATTCGAAGTCGATAGGTATCAACAAGTTAAACTAGTGAGGCACACACAGATCCCTAGAAAACTAAAACGCTCTCAATTCGCTAGAGCTGTGCCCAGCGCCCGCGGGAAATCCTCGAATGCTGAATGCTCGTGCGCCACGTGTGCAGGATGCACACAAAGTGATCAAGGGGCAGTTCGGGTCTTGTTGCAGTTCAAAGACTTGGATGAGCGCTTGCATCGACAGCCACTTGGCTTGGCTTTGAGCGCTTTTTTGCACGGACGGGCTTGACGGGTGAGGGTAGGGGGAGTTAGCTGGCGCCATTAAGGGATAAGACTTGCCCAATGACTGCTATCACTGTTGAACCTTTTGAAGGAAGGAGCGCTTGGTTCATGACAGAATATGATAATATATCTCGCCTTGGAACTCCTTGATCACGCGTTTGGTACGGCAAAACATTCATGGGTATGAAAGAGTCATCCTTTAATTGTAATCAACTCGGGGTTGACTTCAAACACGTGCAGAGCGTGATGGGTTTCACCTGATCACGTGACGGGCCTGGCCTCACCAGGCAGTTCTACGTAAGCACAACTCACTTGCTCCTTGGCTTACGGATGAGCGATGGGATGCGGAAACCTGACTTTGACTCATAATTAGTCATTGAAGTCCCCCATAGTCATAGTCATTTGCAAGTTGCACAAGGTTAGGGATCATGGCGGCAAGAACAAGAGGTTGCGGACTACCGACATGCACCGACTTGCTTGCTTGCTTTGCTTGCTTTGCTTGCTTTGCTTGCTTTGCTTGCTTTTGCTTGCTTTTGCTTGCTTTGCTTGCTTTGCTTGCTTGCTTGCTTGCCCAATTCGTGAATCACCGACAGACCTGCTGTTTTCTCATGTACCCAGCGAGCTCTTCTTACCTACAAATCTATCTAAAACAAGTCTGCCCACCTCCATCCACTACCACTCCACTAGTGGTCTCCCACACCTATACCCAGTCGGTCGGCTTCCCCAAAAGCGGGCACTCGGGCACCCGCTACCCTCGGCAGGTCCAGTGGCACGGACCAAGAAGTGCACCGCATCCAACAGCTTCACCACCTGGGACGCTCAGCAGATTTGGGCTCAGCACGGCACGTTGACGTCGCATATCCAACCCCCGGGAGATCTGGGTCTCCAACCCCCGGATCGGCATGGGAGTTTGTGTGTGTTGATTTCTTGGGTCGTTTTCTTTTCTGGATGACCGGGGAGGGTGGGGAGTCCTAGAACACTAGAACACCGTTCTGGAGCCGATACAATCCGAAGGCATGGCCAGTTTGGGATTGGCTTTTCCATATTTACTCCAGGATTACTATTAGGCCCAGATGTAGCTGACTCCACGTGATCCTGCACGGAAAAGAGAGAGAACTCTTAAGACAGCCAGCACCGCTGGACTCAATGGGATTTTTCATGGATTTTGGTCAGGTCTTCCATTTGCAAGCCGTCCGAAGACATCTTAAGCTTGATTTATGCAGAGTGGACCACCTGAGTTTCATCATTTTGTTTGGAGCTTGACAATGGACCACCATGAAATCCGAAGACCAACAATGGCCCTGGTGTTCCGCCACTTCCATGATGATTTCAGGGAGTGTATGTATTCCCTACAGTAGGGCTCCAGTCATACCTCCTTTGGAAGATAAGACTGGACAGGACCCTGGCACCCACCCCAGTCCCACCTTCTAAGAAGGTCCCGACTGGAGCCCGGATGGGATATTCATGTGGCCTCAAGTGATCCGCGCCCGGACAACTCACACGCGCCCGGCCCTAGGCTCCACCTGGGCCCGCTCGGGGCTACCTGAGATTTGGCCTCTCGGAGAACTGGTTCTTCCGAAAAAGGATGGGAGAAGAGCACCAAGTTGGACATAGAAGAGGACACAGGAATGGTTGACCATTTACAACATATATATCTTATAAGAAGTGGGACCCGGATCATATGTAATTTCTTCCCCTTTTCTCCCTTGACTCCTCGCGTCGCTTTAACCCTACGGTTCCTCATCCAGGGATGGGAACCGATCCGTGTACCACACTCCGACGCTCAGCGGCTTCCGCGCGCACGGAGCCGATCAGGTCGATGGACGCGAACACCGAGGTGGACTTTGAAGACCCCGTGCCGCGCCCGAAGCGCGGATCCCGCGGATCCCGCGACGAAGGGTTGTTGTCGCTTCTTCTGGACGGTGCGTTGGGGAAAAATAGATCATATCCGAAAACTACGAAGTGGTGAGTGTGGGGAGATGGCGCAAGAGATGGCATGCAAATGGTGGATGGTGGATTTGAGATGAGGATTTTACATAATATGTGTAAACTATGCCGCTGCCTTTATGCATTTGGGGTCATTCCCTTGGACAGTGTCGCCAATCATTCGAGTGTTGCACAGCCGGCCTCCTTTAGAAGGAAAACACATGCTATATTAATCAATCTATACATTTTACACTAGGTGGAGTCCTTCTACCACCTGACAGTTTGGATCCAAATGAAAAGCATGGTTTTGATATTATACCCAAATTTGCCGGACGAACAGCTGGTTGACCTGTGGCAGTTCAGGACATGACCTGCAGTTCAGTGCCCATCCCTGAAGATGCCAATGCACTGCAGAGCTTCATGCAGAAGAACGTGCCTGGGCCATCCCGAGTGGTGTGGTGTTGGGCCATGGGGGTCGGCTTTTTCTTCTTAAGCCAGACCCATTCTTGCGGCCTTAGGAGCCTTAGGAGGCCTCCCTGGATGCCAAGATATGCCAAAGATCAGGTCCATGAAGCTTCCTCCAAACCAACTCACCTGAGGCCTTACCCTGTCAATGGGTAGCCTTGTGCCCTTTGCGGGCATTGGTTTCTCCACTAAACAAGAACTAACCTTATTTGCCAAGGGCACCGGGAATCAGAGCTGGTAGGACGATTCAATTACCACGGTGTCTCCGTATGTCTTTGTCAGATTCTTATACAATCATATCAACATGGGAATGACGGTTGCGATAGCCTAAAGCTAAGGCATACTGGAATCATGTTTTTTTTTGTGCCTGGTGGGTTGTAACAAGGAAGTGGATTGAGGATGATGAAGCTGGACCTTCTGTTGTAGACTTCCCGCATCCACAATCTAATCATGTCGCATCTAGAATGTGTAGCACAGGTACCTTGCAGAGCACACCCCACCACACCACCCTAATTCGAAGCATCATCAATCAAGAGGCACATGCTTGGGCTGCTTTGGGATTGGTTTATCCGGACATGTGCCACATCACTCTGCGTCCGCTTGGGCATCACACCACCGGAATCTGAAAAAAAGAACTGCCCTCGGCTCCCAAAAAGCGCCCTGAGGACCTGCGAAGTGTGTGGGATTCCTTCTACAGCAGCAAGGGCGACATTTGGGATCCGCCAGTCTCAGCTCCTTGGAGGGCCCCGGCCCCATTCGGAGGTCAACACGGTCGTCCTCGAGATGGAGTGGCGCCAGTTGAACAGTAGGGTAACGGTCCCTTTTCGGGTGAATTGTGTTATATATATACTAATGTGTTTATTCACCTCTTCTTTTCCAAGACATCCCATGCACAGTGAAGCATCCGAAACATGTCCAGCTTGCACTTCCAGATTCGCTGGGATGAACCCTTTGGGCTGGGCCATGGGATGCCGAACAAAGAACCACAGGAACGGCGTCGAAGCGTCGCGGTTCTCCCAATGCGGCGTCCAAGCTGACGCGACCGGAGAGAATCTCACCAGAGAGGTATACTGTAATTCGTAATCCCTTAAGATCACCCCCACAAGGTCTGCCCTTTTCTGTCTCCAAATCCTTTCTCCGAGTGGGTCGGCCCAAGGACGTCCATTTTGGGGTCCAGTGGGCCCGCTTGTGTCCGCCAGCCGCGGAAGCCGCTGAACGGCGCAGAACGGCTGAGGTTTGGAAGATGCGCGGCTCAGCGTCCGCTCAGCCGAAGAAGGTGGGCGAGGAGACCGACTTCGGCTTCGACTCGGGCGATCGGCGCACGTGTGGTCCGATGCTGAAAAAGATGGACGCCCAGACTGTAGCGATGAGTCAGGTGATTGCAGCAACGTTGGATGTGTGGCTGCTGCGGTTTTTTGGGAGCTAGCAGGCATCCGAAGGGGCACTTTTTTGGCTTTAATATGTTGTAAGGTTGAATTTATGCATTAATTTACTTGTAGACCAGGTTGCAGTTTAGCTTGGTCATATTCAGGCCTCCGTGGAAAAAGCAGAAATGGACCGAAGTATGATAGGAGCATATAAGAACCCCCATGTAGAGTCAATACAAGTTTCGGACACTGAACTTGCAACCGGGCTTGCAGCCGGACCCTCATCTCCGGTTCAAACAATGCAGCTTTGAAACTGTTGGTGCTTTGTTTGGATCCTTTTTGTTTGGAGGTCAGCACCCTTCTCCGAGCTAAGAAAAACCTACAATGGAAGATTGAGATTGATCAGAAGATGCGCAGGCAGGCAAGTCTACTGTAGGTGCTTGCTATGGCAACTATGCGTTGTTTGGAGGTCAGACTTATGGCGAGGTTCGTTGCTGCAGGACATGTATCAGCTCATTGACCACATCTTCTATGACGGCCGCCATCTCTTCGGGCAGGGCGAGCAAGCCTTGCGCTTGAGGGAGAAGCCGCTCGAAGCGAAAGGCGAAGGTGCCAGGCTGCCATGCTTCCCTTGTGCGGTTTGACTCAGACTTTGTTGCGGCTGCCATATACTTGAGACAGCCATGCTTTGGTCTTCCTGGTTGAGCTAGTTTAGCTTCGACCATTCCGGCGATTCCTGCAGTGGCCATGTATCTGTATACATCCTATCATACATATCCTATCAGACATCAGTTTCTCATGCCTTGACCAATGAACAGAATACCATGGCACTGAGGTCTTGCTTGTCCGGGCGACGGGCCCTACGTATCTATCAGCCCCATTAAAGTGCACTTCTGGGTTCACAGCAGGTTCAATGACAAATGGGCTTGAAGAACTCAATTTGAGATGTTAACTTGGGATGCAATCGGGAAGCGGTCTCATCGGTCGTTTGACTTTGCAGTGGCTAAGTGCACAACGGCAAACACACATCCCGAATTTCCATGATGGAATGTCCTCCTCTTTTCCTGTTCATTCCGTGTCGCCACGTGGTGCGGAACCGCATGCCTGCACCCCAGGAAGACAGATGAGCCTTGGATTCCGCGTCGCCTCGCCCGCGTGGGTCAGTGGCACCAAGGGAGGCCCTGGAAGAGGGAAGGTCCCCTCTATTTGAGTATGGGAGGCCCTGGAATATGGAGGCCATGGGAGGCCCTAATATGGATACGTATTAAAACCCTTGGTTGGGAGGTCCCCCTATTTTAATGCGCATCCATATTAGGAGGTATGACTCCACAGCACATGACATGCGAGTTGAGGAACGTAACATGGAAGCTTGTTTGATCCGTTTGTGCATGTATTGCCGTTTAAAGCAAGGACAGATAGACCAAAAAGTCTTGGTGTGTCGATTCTTTTTGCTGTGCTCACCCGTAAACGGAAGGCGGAGGGGGATCACATGAGATCACTGCGGGTTCCCCCTATTGATTGCAATTATATACATGCAACACCCCATGATGGGGTCCCCCTTAGATAGCTTAAACATGTACACCCATTGATTTTAGCTTTCCAAGGACCCGGCCGATCGGGATTGGCTGGCGCTGATGCCGAACGAGCTGTTACCCTCGGACCATTTGCCCATCGTGCCGCTGGGCAAGCCTGGGAGGATGGGAAGCACACGAACAAAAGCTGTAGCAAAGTGCAGTCCTCCCTGGGGGGACACCATGTACCTCCCTGGGAGGTGTCACTGGTGGGTACTAGTACTTTTGAGGTGTTCCTAGGAGGTACTACAGGGTGAACAAAGTGAGTAGGATACAAAGTTCTGTCCTAGAGGTATCTAGAGGTACTTTTGTGAGTTGGCCTACTTAGACAAGAATCCCTTGTAGTTGTGGGGCTTGAGTGATTTTTGTGGGTGCGTATGAGTTGCTAAGACTTGCTCAGCTACAGGCACTGGGTATACGCCATGGACATCATGTAAGAAGGTCGGTGTTTATGGGTTTGGCATGGTTTGGCTGGTGATTTCCAGGTCGTGGACACCCTTTTCCAAAGACCTGGACCCTCCTAGATCAGTGCAACAACTTCAAGTCGCAGAAATGCTAAGCAGAATGCACGCATGTGGCGAAAAGCAGAATCCTTCAGAATAAGATGAACAAGTGAGATCCTGTTCATCATCTTGAACAGGTACACCTGATTCACCTGGCACGTCGCCTGACCCTGCCTGGCCCTTTTGCTTTTTGAGCACCAATACCTGAAAAAATGCACTGACTCGGGGGTGCTTTCAGCGGCTCCGCGGCAGCGATGGGCTCCGCGACTGACTCAGGTGGGACTTTCACCTCAATGTGAATTCACCCCGCTGGGAGCCGACCGTCTTGGTGAGTTGTGCCAAGCAGCTCTTTCAACAGCTGCCACTGGGCAGCTGTTGACGTGACCGGTGTGTGTGTGGTCCACCATGATGGGCGAGTTGCTATACAACAGTCTTGCTAGCAGGTAAGTCGTTAAGTGCTTTCGATGTGTTTAGGTTCTGGATTTGTGGGGTTGAAACATCCCACAGCTTGCGGCAGTTGTTCAGGCCCCTAGTTTTCCCGTCACGGCCCTACTGCACTTCGTATCTCATCATCTCTTGGATGCCCACCTCTTGCAGACAGAAGCAGTGCAGTGCAGAAGCCGTGAGGCGCAGCCTGCTGCCGGGCGCCGATCCCAACCTGGACGAGATCGAGAGCCTCTTTGCACCGCTGTACTTGGGAGGCCCCGAATCTACAGACCTTCGGGTCTCCGAGCGCCGGTTTCGCCTGCAACGCCGATGTAGGGATCACGATGTACGGGGTCGGCACGAAGAAGCACTGAGCTCGGTGATGGTTCACATGCTCCACAGGTTTGCAAAGCCATGCAATACCCGGCGACGATTCTGGAGATGCCGCCACCCAACACTGGCGAGGAAGCATGATGGAATTCAAAACTCATCGAAATCATACATATTAAGGTTTTGTCGCTTCTCTGTTGATATCAGTGGGATATGTATGGACTATAGTGTATGGACTATAGTTACCGCCTCCAGCCTCCAAGCCTTGCGCAGAGAAAGCATTGTTCCATTGGTTCCATTCCATGTAAGTCCGACCCAGAGCGTTTGAGCATAGCAGGCTTGCATGGCCGCCGGGACAGCTCTCCAGATGTAGCCTTGAGCGTTTTTCACGTCTTGAAGCCGCTTGGGAAGGCAAATGGACATGGAAGGGGTTGCCAGGATCCAAATCTGGCAGGTGAAGCTACTTAGAGGTGCTCTACATAGATTGGTCTTTGGAACGGGCGATTTCTGAAAGATCTGAAAGCGATTTCTGAAACAATGGGGTGCTTGGACTGTACCTTCATTGTGTAGATTATTGTGGATTGAGGTGTTCTATTTGTTGTTTGTCTACTCAAGTCTTCGGTTTCTTCTGCTTGGGCCATCGAGCGCATGGTGCCGGTCGCTTTTCCTCGCTCCCAGGAAAATCTCGGTGGAGGCCAAAGCCACGCTGAAGTATGAGCTCACGGACAACGTCTCCAAGTTGGAACTCTTCCGCGAGAGATCCTGGTCGGATTCAGATGGCTTACTCCCTAGTAGAACTAGCCCATGGCCATGGATGACATGGGCTCCGCAAGAGGAAGACCATGAGTTTTCCGAAGACCCAACAGCTGGTTGTTCACTCCACTTCAATGTGAGGTCCAAAAAGAGTATGTGGGACGTTGAAGGGTTTTTCTGTGGGTCTTTGCAGTTGCTTGGGTCGTTGTGGAGTTACACATGTCTAAGACCCACGAACCAAGAAATTGGGTGTTTGTTGTTCGGCCAGTGGCCAGCAGATGCCACATCTGCACATCAAAGCAGCAAAGCAGGATATACGTACTCCAGCATGACACTCGATCAGCTCAGAATGATAGTGGTGACCTCATTTCCGGACCAACTCTCGAAAGATCTTTTAGAAGACTTGAAGCACCTGGTGAAGACTGGAAGCACCAGCTGAAGCACCAGGTGAATGCTTTGCTTCACCATCTCATCTGAGACCTTCATACCGAGGAATCATCAAGGCTACCGGCCGCCACCAGTCGAAGGCTACCTATGTTCCTTGGCAACATGGGTCGGCTCATGTCAGCTCACGGTCAGCCAATGGGCAATCGCAGCATGTAAAGATCTGGGCACATCAGGTCAAAGCTTTGGATGTGTACAGATGGGTACCACAACATTAGGTTTATTGCATGTTATTTGATGTGTTTGCCTTCATCCCTGCACATCCTTCTCCCAAACCTGGTGCTGTCGCAGCCTGTCGCTTCGGCTGCAACCTTCAGTTTGTCCTTTGAGAGCCTTGGTCTGCGAAGTTCGGGCTTGGTCTTGTCTTCCTCGCCCTGGCACACGGATCCCCTAGTAGCCCCCCCCGTATGATAGGGCCTATGCTAGGCTACCCCTCGGGACTTCATTGCCCGTCCTGGAACTCCTAAGGAGAGTTCCCTGGTTCAAGCCTTGCTCTTCTCTGCAGCCTCCATTGTGGCCGGCCAAGGGGTCAGCGGCCTCAGTGGTGTCGGCGGTGACTGACTCGGAATGGCTTTGGCTTGGGGTTGGCATTGATGAAGAAACCTCCCTTTAGACCCTCACAGAACTTCAGCGCTTCCTGGAACTTTAGCAAAGACTTGCCTAAACTTTGAACTAAAGACCCAAAGATCATGTCAGAGAATTTGTCAAGGCAGTTGAGCCGGAATGCTTCTGGACATGTCCCAGGGTTCACCTTATGCACAAAAGTATGGACACACATACAAATACAATCTAAGAATCTACATATAACATAAATCAACCTCATTTACACACATACTATAATATATATACATACATATTTGGTATTATTTGTTTATTTAATATGGCGCATATGGCGATATATGTTCTGAAAGCCCTTCCCCTGCTCAGGGTCTCTTCAGTGACCAGTGGAGTACCATCGCCCTGGCGGCGATGCGCTGTGTGCTGCGCACGCTGACGGCGGTGCCCTGTTTGGATCCCAGCTTCGTGGAGGTCATGAGTGAGGTGGGCGGCGGGGGATGGTGAGGAGGGCGGCGGCGTGGCTGGTCTCGAGTCGAACAACAGCGCCGGAAAAAACAATCGCACGCACTTGGTGTTCTAGTGGTTTTTGGGATGTGAGAGTTCAGATGTGATATGATGTGATTGTTCAAGAAGATCTGGTTGAAAGTTTTGGCTTTTAGAAGGGGAGAGAGTAAGTTGGAGACCAGGAGACCTAATTCTTGCTGCAGAGAGCTGCTTCTATTGTATGCTTTAAGTGTTGTGCGGGAGGAGATCCAAAGTGTGAGCTCCCAAGCCTGTAGGACCTTCAGAAATGTTAAGGCCTTTGAGCTTTTGAGGATTGTTGAGCATAGTTTGCTGTGATGTGTTTGCCATTTGCTTCCTTGGCCGATGCAGCCAAGTGTATGCAGTGCCACATATTCATGCACTCAGCCACATGCACTGCAGGGCCAGTTGTGGGCACTTCTGGCGCAAATGACCAGTATCATCACCCCAAACTGCCCCTACATTGTGAAAGCCTTCGACCAGAACGGCTCCTCGGCGAAGAACTCGGCTCGTTTGGGTTGCTGCGCCAGTTTTGCCCTAGGCACAGGCATAGCATCCCGTTCAAGAACACTAACCCACTTAAAACAAACACATCTCAGGTCGGACACCCCTGCTTGCAGTTTTACTGTGTTTTTGTTACAGCGTTTACTTTTTTCTCTACTTAGATGAATGCCAGGTGTTCAGTGCTCCTTTCCAATTAGATTATATATATATAGTCATATAGTTCCCTCACACTTCTCCATCCAACTCAAGGACACAGGCTTTCCCAACATCCAAATCCGAACACAGAAGGTCCTGCATTCCAGCTGACCCTGTTTGACCCATCGATCGCAACACATACCCGTAAAAAAAAAGAAATCACACACTCCCAAGACGGCCCCCAAAAAAACACTAATGCTATATGGCTATATGATAGCTTAAGCTACTGTATTCTAATAACAACCAGAGTTCGAGTCATGCACTCAAAGTTCACCATTCTGAGCATGGTCCTGTGAGTGTTCACCGCCTCACATTGGAGCCAGCGCAACATGGTACCTGCAATGTACCTGCTATGTTTGTTCTCATTAATTTGCTCAAGAGCCGCCACATAACAAGAACTGTGGAGAAAAAGGCACACACACACACTATCACATACTTGAAACCCACCCAAGGCATTGTCACCTCGCAAGACATGGATTGCCTCCTGGTGGAAATTGGGGAGCAGCTGAACTGCAGGCACTTCGGCCAGCTGGGTGGGTGGAAAACCACCCGACGAGATGATGCATCGATGCGCTTCACATGTTTTGGAGGGGAATTGGAGGAAACTAAGCATTGCTTTTCATACAGTTTGGGTCCAACTACCTTCTCAGGAGGTACTTGGAGCCCTAGGAACAGTAGTACTTTACACACAACACATCAGGAATCCCGCGGTCAGGTTCCGGCGTGGGCCGGTGTTTGTACGCCGTCGGTTCATGAAGCCTTGGAACATTGGTTTTTTATTACATTTTATGACCAAAAGCCGAGCCTCATGCATCAGCCTGTTGTCGATATTTGGCTTGACTAATGGAGTCACTGATTTAGGCGGGTCCCAGCTCCACGTTTAGGGGTTTGAACCTCGCCACCCTAGCCTCCTCATGGTGACACGTGTCCAGCTGGGCTCCGTCGCAGACGTACGCCCTGCGCCCCGGCGTTGTGCGTGCTGCGCTGCATCAATTGGCGGAAGTGTGCCACGGGGACGCATGTGGCAGCTGCGGTCAAAATGCTCATGCAGGCAGCCGGCGCGAGCCACAAGTCTTCGATGTTGGAAGGGCCGCGAGCTGGGGAGTTTTGAGTCTTTGTTGGCCTTCTCGTTGTTTGAAACGTATCTAACTAATTAAGAGAGAGTTCCTGAAGCAACTCAGAGCAATCTTGAAGCAGGAGCTTCCAAGTGGCCTTTTGAGATCCCAAGATGAGGTGACTTCTATAGTCCCTGAACAGGTCACTTAGAGACTCCAGACAGGTCAGTTGAAGGTCCTGCTACTGTAGTGGACCACATTGACTTCTGATGTTTGTTGGCGATGTGTTGGTTTGATCTACAGCTTTGACCCAGAGCCCTTCATGCCATTGGTTCAGAACAATGATAACGGATGTGGCATTGGCAGTTTAGCACTGAGAAAGTGCATTTGCTTGGTTTGGCTGGCCTTAGACCGTGGCAATGTTTGGAAATCCAAGGTCCCTGTACACTGTCTATGGTCACCAGCAAGCACCCAGACAACAAGCAACAATTGGAGGGTTCTTGATCCTTTGGCTCCAAGAATGTTCTTTTGGCATCCTCATGAGGTTCTTCACCATAGAGCCATAGAGAGAGTCCTCATCTTCAAAAGTTTCCTGGGCCTGTGATATAGATGTGTTCAAAACTGGGGGAGCTTACAACGCCAATCAATCATCAACGCCTGGTAGGCCTGGTATGCGCCTCCATTCATACGCGAGACGATCCCGCTTATGAAAAATGCGCGTTCAGGCCATAGAAGCAGGCAAGATCCCCTTCTTGGAGCAGCACCTCTTTGGACCCACCGACCGGATGGAGGCGGGGCAGGGAGGATGGTGATTCGGCCGAGACGCATGGCTCAACTCCAGCATTGATCATAATTGACAGATCCCAAACTGCGTGAGGCTTCCAAGTCAGACTACATGAGCTCGTTCCCCCCCTACCTGGCCAAATCAATGTGGATGTTGGATCAACAAAGAAAGATGCTTCGCTTATTTTCGGACATCGGACCTCTGGAGATACCCCAGCAAACTTTATAACAGTCTTTTACCCACCACATCCCACCACCATGCCCTCTCCTACACCCATCATCCATCATCATCCAATCCGCCCCCCAACTTCGCCAAAACTCCTCGTGCCGCCCACGTTGCTCCGCTTAGATCACCCCACCTTCGCAGGAGATGCAAGCTGTGCCCTCAGCCGTCTCGGTGGTCTCCACTATCCGTGTCCTGGTGAAGATCTATCTCTTTGAGTGATGTTTTTCATCTTGGGACCATCTCTTTTTTGGTGGACGAGTCATGCTCGCCAGAGAGAGAGAGAGAGAGAGAGAGAGAGAATTTGTTTGGGTGAATAGAGTTGCGATTTTTTTCACGTGAGAAACATTCATTTCTCAAACCAGGTACTAGTTTATTGCTCCCCTGCGTTCCTGAATCATCAAATCCAAGGTTTACTCCGCGCCAACTCAGCGACGCCGCAGCCTCCGCTGCCGCCGGAGACCGACGTCGACGTTGGCTCGGCTAGTAGTCAATGTAGTCAGAGTTCGGAATCCGCCGGGTGGAGGGACGGTGCAGTGTGCTTTGTTGTGTTTTTTCCAAGCGAGTTTATGATGTTGATATCGTTTCATGGATTCATGTTGCATGTGTTTGGTCTTTTTTTTCCCTTGCATCATCTTGCATCTCATGTCTCAAGAACTCCTGGCAACTGCCACCTTATCTCCGCGTGCAGGAGATGCAGCACAAGCAGACCTTCGACCAGTCGGCAGCCATCAGCGCTTTAGCGTCCCTGGCGAACTCGGGGAACTTGGAGACTTGGACGGTGGAGGTGAAGGAAGACTCACCATCAGCCGTGAACTCATGTGAGAAGGAGTCCGTTTTCAGGGGGGAGGGTCGGTGATGCCCATTGCAAACCCGAGAAGATGATACATACACCCGGGAAGATTAACATGGAACCTGACAATGGACGTTTGGAGGACTACTTTCCTCTACGACCCGGTGGTTTACAGGTTCCATGTTAATCTTCCAGGGCGTATCTTGTATCAATTGAGATACACTCCCCAAAATCATGCAGGGCTACTCGGAGTTCATGGCACTGGGCTTCCGAACAAAAGAGACCATGCGATCCCACGTAACCATGACTATTTCAGCAACGCTATAGTGGCCAGAAGAGAAGTTCCACCCCAACTGGAAGACCAAGCACCATGGATCGGAAGACTAAATGCTGACATGTGCTGACCCAGTGCTGAACATCCAAGTTGTTCACCCGCTCGACGAGGGTTTGCTTGTAATTTTGTGGTCGCTTGGAATGGTACTCTTCACACGGCTCGTGTCAGACTTTTGAAGTGGGAGACTTGACTCAGAGCTGGGCCTAACATCCGCCCGTCCTCAGCTCATTAACTGCCCAGAGGATTCATCTAAGCATACATAACTGACCTACATTCACCACCAAAAAAGCACCAGTCATGTAGGCGGTAGGGGTCCACCTCGCTCCCGTTTCCAGGTCAGGTCCCTCGGACCGAGGGGTCGCCCAGTCCACGGTGCAGAAGCGGTCGCCAAGGACTCGGGCGGTGGCTTGGCCTTGTTGTTGGAGTCTTTGCAGCGACAGATGGCCTTGGCGCAAGGCGCCACGGGTCGGAACAGCGCCACACGCGGAGTGTGGCGTCTGGTTGGTGGAGTCTCCGCGATCGGGGGAAAGGATCGGGGGAGGACAGTGAGGGAGGTGGTGCAGTGCTGGAAGGATTTTTTTGGGGGGGGGCAGTCATGAAACGCAAAGATGTTCCATGAAACTGGACGAGATTGGCCTAGGGAGGTCAATGCAAGCAAATTACATGCATGGATGGTTTGGGAAAGCATTCAAACCAGACTCCCAGAGTTAGGACTCCCAGAGTTCTCAGCATTGGAGTGCTTGGACATGCTTGAACTAAAGGTTAGGTCCTCTCACTCGATGGATGGATTCCAGAAAAAGGAAGGTCACCAATGCAGACACAGATGGCTAGCCATCGCCTTTTAATAGAGGACACTTGCCCCTTCAGAAGGTCAATTTGTTAGAGTATACAGTATACAGCTTCCTCCCAGAGCAACACAATCCATATCAACCCTACCTACCCCAATTAACCCACCCACCTTACCTGCCATACTGCAGTGCTTTTCCATTGCCTTGTGTATCAGCAGCCAATTCCAACTCCAGAGCCCAACTACCTGCCACAGCCTGGAACGCGAAGAGCGCGGCGCGGCAGGCACCAGCACTCCAGAGCGCCAGGCGCGGGCACTGCATCGGCCACCGCCCTGGGTGGTGGCCTCCTACGTGCGTCGCACAGTGGTGAGTGCCCTGGAGAAGACGGAGCCCCTTGAAGCTTTGGTGGCGCCTTGGTGAGTGATGGTGGTCATGGCGCCTGGGGAGGGGACTGATGTGGGTGCTATATGGTTGGCCAGGACTGATGGTGGCGTAGTGCTTTCCAAACACTATTGCCGTATTGTTCCACGTTGTGCTCCAAACCGAATTGACACTTGTTAACAAAGACCGGCTCTCAAAGCTTTTGATATGAGTTAGCCCTTGTGCTGCAGAACTCCTAACTCTTTAGATACTCAAAGTCCTAACTCACCAGTAAGTATAGTACAACCTGTGGGCTCCACGTCTCACCCATTGGAATCAGGTCTCGGCGCAGAAGCTCCACGTCTCAGAGCAGGAGGCCAAGAAGCGCGCGCGGCTGAACCCAGTGGAGGAGCTCATCCAGGCCGGCTGCACTGGGGCGTTTGCATGCGGTTGAAGCCACGGTAGACCAGCAGAGGCTGAGGAGGGAACGCCCACGCCAAAGAGTGAGGGAATGCGTGAGTGGGGGTGGCGAGTGGTAGCTTTAGTCCAGTGAAGAGTGTCGTCGTGTGGGTCGATCTATTCTATGAAATATGGGACTGGAACCTGTGTTTTCAAACTTCAAAGTGATCTTTTGATCCCCTGGTTTGAGGTCACAAACAGGCCTGGAAAAGATCACTGAGGGACTTCAACAAGGTCACTTTTGAGAGGAGCTGCATCATATGCCCCATTATTTTCTTGATTTTTCTTGCATATTGGTGTTTTTGAGATGTTTTTGGGTCGATGTCGATGTAGGTATATTCCATGCATGGATGGCTTGGGACGCCCGAAAACGTCCACCTGAATCGCCGCAATCGAGGCCTTGGTGGACTTCCCTCAGGATGGTCCGCAGTCCCAGGCGCCGGGACGCCAACAGAGGACCCCTTCGTCCATGTTTAGCAGCCAGTGTTGACTAAAGATGCTTTGGCAGTAACTCCTGGAGGCTTGTGGCAAGGCCCAGCGAATTTTGGAAACTCAGCAGGCAGCAAAATAAAGAACAAGAAAGCAGCCTCCCCACATGCCCACTGCCATATGTACTGTAGTGGCTTTGAACCTCTCCATTTGATTGGGCTCCTTTGAGAAACTTTAAAGCAAGTCACACGTTTGCCTTGCCCTTGGTTCGAGACCATGATATGTGTCCTTTGTTTCACTGCTGCCGTGCGCCATGCGCCACCGTTTGGTCCAATGCATGCATGGGCACGCGCATGTTTCGCATCAAAGCCATATCAAAACCGCACCCTCTCCTGACCAGGGCGACCGGGGCGACCCAACCAATTCATCCACGCACAGACCTCAGACGGCACGGCGCCCAGCACGCCTCCGCAAGGCGCACACCTTTGGGCGGATCCTTCGGCTCTTGGTGAAGATCGCCGACCGCTGTGGCCCCAAGGCCCTGCTGGCCCCCATGGTGGCCAGGAGCCGTGGAGGGGATCCTGTGTTTGTGCGTGTACTTGTGTGCAATTGTAAGTTAAGGATATTTAAGGTATTTATTTAATCCCACAAGACCCAGGATGCACCACCTTCAGTGACATCTCAAGTCAGGGACCGGCCCAAACTCTGTGGAGTGCTTTCATCAGATGGATTGATGGGTGCCAATTGAGGCATCCTGTAAGACATACTGTCCAGCCCTTTTCAGCTGCAAGCAGCATCAATTACATTCATCAGAGCAGATGGCGCCAGATGGCACAACTCATTTAGACCATTGTTTGGGATTGTGCATATTGTGCCATCTACTCACTCTCGACTCTCAACCCATTATATACAAAATTTATATAGGGCCTTTAGGGCATTCAGTACATTCCCTCAACTAGCCCCTGGAGCAGCTGAGCACGTCGCCAATTGAAACACTGAGATGTTCGACCGCGCCGACCGCACGGTCGAATCCCACCGAATTCCCGTGGGAATGCGGGTTTTCGCAGGAATGGCATTGATCGAATACGAGATGTGCTACGATGCTTAGACGCTTTGGATGACTTTTAGTTCTTTTCATGGCCAGTGGGTTCGAGGGTTCGCTGAGGTTTTACGGAACTAATCATTTGAAGAGAGAGAGAGAGAGAGAAGGCCCACGTTCAGCAGTGGAAGTCTTTTGGGGCTTGAAGGGTGTTTGGAGATTGTTGGACCCCCTTGACGATTGCAATGAATAGCATTTTAATCGTTGCACTCATTTCATGCTATTTCATGCTTTTCTCATCTTTTCTCCATTTACAGGCTGTACAACTGCATGCCAGGGCAACTGCAACCTGATGCTTTGTGAAATCTGTGTTTCTCCATGGAAAATGATGGCGTCTTCTTGAAGCACCATGGGATAGTTGGATCTACTTCGTGCATTCCTCCCATTTGGTGGGCAGTTTCCGGCAGGCCTTCCATCGATGGACCCGCGGACTGCCTCGGACCGGACGGCTCCGGATGAGCCGAGGCACTGCTCTCGGAAGAGGATTTGCAGCGATGGAAGACCCATTTGTCACTTGGGGCGGTGTCGTGCGTCCGCGGGTCGTTTGGGTCGGGGCGGTGGTTTGTCGTGTTTGGATCGGGGCGGGGTTGGGGTGGCGCCCCGCTGCGTCCGTTTGGGGTGCAGCCGTCGGTCGGTGGTTGGTGGGGCGGCGGCTGAAGGGTTTGGGGGATTCAATTGAAGGCAAGGCTTAGGTTGGGCAGATAGGGACTGCTTCTAGACATGGCTTGGAAGAATTTCGCGAGTAGGGAATCAGTCTGACCTCCACCCAGCACTTCCGGTATCTCACCATCCTCGCTTCTTCTCACCATCCTCTACTCAGGCACCTCAATCGTTTTTTGGACCTTTTGCTCAGCGTGGATGTTAGCTCGGATAGCCTGCTTTTGGCTCTTCAGCAGCGCGTCGAAGAGGCGATCAAGGACCAGCAACACTCGTAAGGCTTTCTGACGTTCGATGGTTTCTTAGATGTGGCTGTGGGTCAAAACCAGGATACTTTTCTTCACTAGTTGGGAGGTCTTTCGCAACGGACCAGGGCACCAGGGCGTTGGGACCCACCCCCACATCTGACATAGGTCGACTCGACACGGGCTCGTCCAACACCACAAGAATCAACACATGTTCTTCCTGAGGCCATGCCCTCCCCTTCCATGTGAGTGAGTTGCAGTGTTACAAAGACCGGCGTCAATGGCTGTGTTCGCCGTTATCGGCTGCCTTCGATCGCCTTTTTTTCGACGAGACGGTTTTTGTTTGCCACGAGCCTCGTCCCCCGCAGGTCACCAATTGAGATCTGTTAGGGCCCAACAAGGCAAGGCGGCAAGACCTCTTTGGAGGATTCTGGCCCCGCCCGACTCGAATGGTCTTGAAGGACATCTCATATGTTGGTTCCAGAATTGAACACACCACGCACACGGCTGTTGCAATACCCACTCCCCTTCTTGGTTTGAGGATGGACATTTACGTGTTGTTCTCAGGGCCAGGGGTGATGTTGTTTTTTTTCACCGTTTTCTTGGGGCGGCCACCCATTTAGACACTTCCAAATGTGCCAAGCACTTCGAACGTTCTGCGAGGAGAAGGAATTCAAGGAGCTCCTGATGCAAAGACCATCACGGGAAACTTGGTGTGAGTCAACTTTGTCTCACGCGAGATAAACCGTACACTTGTGGATATGGAGCTTTCCACGCTGGGAGGAACTAGCAAAGCTTGGCAACCGCTGAGGATGATGCCAGTCCCAAGTCCTATGATCTCAACAAGATTTTGGCAGAGATCGACACCTTTGATTTCGTCAAGAAGCTGCCCGAAAGCCCAGCCATGGAGGCCCAAGACACTGGCCCACTGATTTTCCTAAGATTGTTTGCCCAGTTGTTTGCCATGCAAAAGCATCAAAAAGCCAAACATCGCCAATACCCTCCTAGCACCATCACTTGGACTGAACAACATGTCACAAGTGACGAGGAAAAACATGGGACGACGGGACGACGGTGAGGGTCAGGGAATCAGACCGGTCACACGACAGGTGGTAACTCATGTAACCCGGTAAGATGGGCCACGATGGATATCCTGAAACAATATCTCAACACCACTCTCTCTCCCTACCCAGCCACTTGAGAACAGTTGACTTGATCGTGTAGCCAGGTTTATTTTTTTTAAGCCCAAGCTTGGCAGGGGCAGTATATTCTGTTCTGCATCTGTGAGGATTTGTTCACCAGAGGGGAAGTTGAGACGTTTGATGTGGCAGCCTGGCAAGGTGGATCACTTTTAGTTTGTGCCTTCTCGATGTAGCTCAGGGCGGCATTGACCCCGCACTTGTGGCTAATTTTCCTCCAGATTGAGCTAGCTTGCCGGCTGACCCTGTATTTGTGGCTCATGCCAAACTGCGGTTGGCTAGAGACCTTGAGCGACCAAGCCCAAGCGACTGAGGCAATAGCTTCGGGGCCAGCCCTCCGCTCGGGGACGAGCCGTGTGCGGCTTAGGCCGTCAAGGGATGCAATCCGTGCATATTCTTTCCGAATTTCTGCAGTGATTTACCAGCATGTTCCCCGCGCGAGCTGCGTACTGTGTTTGTTTCTCTCGTTTTGGTTCTACTGTATATACATGATTCTATCATGCTTTATCTATCTATACTATTTACAATTTATCTATATACACAATTTCAATAATATTTGATATGTCGTAACAATGTATATTAACCTATATTATCTCTTTGTCACGTCATGGATGGTAACCAAGGCCTTCTTCGAATGTCTCACTCCTGACATGTGAGTTGCTGCCACAGCGAGCCACCAGCTAATCCAGGTGTGTGCGCCAGTGGTTGAATCAGACCATTATTGGAGTTGTTGACTTTCTAGTTATCCACAAGAGCTGACAGCTTGGCTTTGTTCTTTTGCTTTTGGCCACTATGACCGCAAACACATTATTCATTGGTCGAACAATCCATCGAGGGCTCCGGGCTAAGAAAGTGTTTTGTACAAGAGTTGGACGGAACCAGCAGCTACTGTCACTTGAATATTCTTGCCTTGTTGAGCCACTGCCATATTTGATTTGTAAGCATCTCTTGTGTACATTCCTGCCTGTTTCAACCACTGACTGCCAAGCAGCCGGCGCGTTCATGCACATGGGAAAAAAGGGGGCGCGCGCGCCCAAGCGCGTCCAACGATTGGGCGCTGTGAGTTGGATCATCGACCAATATGACAATGATATACCAGGACCTTCCAAGCCCGGTGGTTTTTGGCCACCTCGACTCACCTCTAAGAGGCTATTTATAGACACCTCTTTGGTCCCGGTCCTGGTATATAATCCATAAATAGTCTCGCTGAAATCATCCTGGAAGTGGATGGAATGCCCCTTGGACCCTTTTCCGAAACCTACGCAGGCAGTGAACTCCACTTCCATGCTGATTCAAGAGAGTGAATATCAGTTGATATCCCCATCATTTTCTCAGGATATCTCCGGTTTGTAATGCTTTGGAACCATCCACTCCCCCAAAAAAGGAACACACTCACACACCAGCCCTCCCCATTTCGCACGGACTCCTTCTCCCGGAAGACCTCCTTGGGTAGTCAGAGGACACTCGGAGGAGTCTCCTTCGCTCCATTCGGCAGGCCTTGAACGATCTATTGCCGACACCGGCCAAGTCCCACTATCTCTTCAACTTGCGAGACATTTGGAAGGCCCCGAAGGGGCCCTGGGGCGGTGTTGAAAAATCAAATTAAAACAACAAAATCCAGCTGGTGACGGTGGGGTGGGCAGGTGGAGTGGTTGTAAGATGTTGTGGGGATTTGTGGGGACTACTGTACGTATTTGTTCGGGAATCTCTAGTTGTTTTCTGTTTTTTCGTGTGTGTTTTTACTGTTGGACCGAGGAGGGTTTCACTGTGTGTACTCTATGTAGGCTTAACAATCGCCGTGGGTCACAGTCACTGAGTGTGGTGGGTCCTGGGGCTTTTGGTCACTGAGGCACAAAAGAATAGCAAGAGCAGAGCAGTGCAGAACTTTGAGAGCAGTGTTCATTCCCAGACCGTTGCAGCTTCATGAGGCTGATTATTTTTTTGAGGTTTGCTTTGGTCCATCCAAGGAGGCTTTAGGAGGGGGGGTCTGTTTTTTTCGACTCGAACACAGCGAACGACCGAAGTCTCCGTTGAGAGCGCCGAACTTCGCTCTCACCAACGCCTCGGACGGAGACGATCAACAGCTTGGGCGCCTGGTGCCTGCCTGGCCTGCCTGGCCTCTCAGGTCTTTTTGGGGCTTTGCAGCCTTTCAGCGAAGAAGTCCAACAACGTCCCGACGGTGCGGAGAGCTGGATGTGCTGGGTGCGCATGTTATATACGGAGAGCTGAACAGAGGGTTTGGTGGCCAAAGGGGGTCGCTTTCTGGCCCAGCCGTGGGTTTGCTGTTTGGGATGCACCTGGCATTACAAGTAAGTAAGTAAGTAAGTAAGTATGTTTCGCTGTGTGTTTGCCGAGGTAGTCCGCTGCTAGATTGGGATCATCAATTTGCCAGGATGTGTTTGCTCTTGGGGGGTTTGAGACCACCGAAACTTATAGGTCCTTGTGAATCGATTGCTGTGAGGTTCACCGATTCGGGGTCACTTTCTGAGTCAAGTGTTGCATATGTTTGGTGGTCTACCTCAGGTGTTCCTCCCCAAAGGGTCAAGGAATCGAGGGTCCTATATAGATATGATCTTGGATGTTTCACAGACCATTTTGAAAGCCCACTTGAACTTTGGGCAGGACATATCTATCAGAATCTATCAAAGGTTTCTGGAAAGAAGGCAAGCCAAAATTCTTGAGACATCCTTCAGCTGAACTCTGTCAAACATCCAAAACACCCTCAAACTCTTCGATATATAACACATGAAATCCCTTAAACAATCCTTTATATAAATATCTTTGATGACGTGGTCCTGCTTCCACCCATGTCCCCTCAGCTTCCTGATCCTCTCCACATCAGGTGACTCGCTGCTGGGCGCACGAAATTCAGCGAGTCTTTGGCGATCGGCTCACCGCTCCTTGGTCCATGCGGTGGGCCGCGGTGGGCGGTGGGCGGTGGGCGGCGGTGGCGTGGCAGCTCGTTGGCTGGTTGGTTGGTTCCTCTTGTTTTGGGTCGGGGGCGGTCCAAGTCAAGACCGACTTCTGGCGCCATCCAGATGACTGGAGGGGATGAGATTCTCAGGTTCTTGGGGTTCAGGAAGGTCAGGAACATGTGTCCAGTGGCCGCTGCTGCTGTCATGTTGTGTGTTGTTTCCCCTTGTCCAGCAGGGGAAGAAGAATCAAGAAAAAGCACCAAGAGACCAAGACAATGGCAACAAATGGTCACATACCCCCGCGCAAACTAACATGGAACCTGAGAATTGACCGGTGGAAGAACATGTTCCTCTATATGCAACCCAATGGTTTTGGGGTTCCATGTTGCAGGGGAGTACTTCTTTCCAACGGCCTCGGAGCCTCAGGATGAACAGGATTTGCAATGGATGAAGACCCAAGTGGACACAGCCGTTGGCCAGGTGTGGGGGGTGGGGCGAGTTCTTGAGTGGAAACGCGGCTTTCAAGGGAGCGGACGGAGGAGGTGCATGGGTTCATGTGTGACATGACGATCACCCGGGTTCGAGAATGGAAGGTTGTGCTGGGAATGCTGCAGCTTTGCTTCGAGAGAAACCCCAGAGTTTTTCTTTGATCAAGAATCATTCGTGGCAAGATGTGGCAAGTTGACCAATTCTGACGGACATCTCCACGTGTCATCGCCCGGAGGATTTGGCGCAGGACTTGGGCTCGATCTTCGACAAGGACCAGTCGGTGACGGCCCAGGTTGCAGCTAATGTATCTTTTTACCTCCTTGGATTTGGTGCGGGCTCGTACTGTCTATAGGCGTGGATCCACACCACATTTGGTGAAGAAGCCATCAAACTACGCTCAACACACTGGCAAGTACCAATGATGGAGTGCTGCAACACTGCAACACCATGCTTCACCAAAAAACATCAAACACCTGCATTGATACTGCAACTCTAATTTTGGCGGTTGCGGGGGGAGTTCGGCACAAGATGGAGCTTTGTTCGTTGTTCCAATTTCCTTCAATCGGTCATTTTGAGACTGAACCCACCAGCCTTTTCAAAACCGTTTAACTTGAAAAGGCTGGTGGCAGTGCTGGGGTGATGCGTTAACGGGTTATGGCCAGGTTTGCTGTTGCTAGTCAGCTAGTCACAATGGATGGTTTTTTTAGGATGTGAGCAAGACGGCCGTTCGCAACCAAGTGATTCGCAACGAAATCCGGACTTTTGGTAGAGCATCACCGTTTGTCGTGGAGTTCGAATTCTGAGATGTGTCAAAACTCCAGCGGCATGCGCTGGGTCAAGGTTGCTGTGAGTTCTTCAGCTTTCTTCACAGTGCTAGACGTCCGAAGAGTCTTTGATTTCGCCATGGACACCATTTTCTGAGAATCACCGGTTCCGTTTGAGTATATGTCAGAGCTTCAAGCAGAAGGTGATCAAACCATACCAAGCCTTGATGGATCCTCCATGTAGACCGTTGCGTTTCAATTGCGACATGATGCTACAAGGTCTACAAGTAGAGTTCCACAGTCAGAGTCTATCTACTTCCTGGAGCCCCAAACAACCAGAAAGAAATGGATGTTTCCCCAAACAACCATTTCCTATGTAAAGGATTTCGATTGCCATATTGGAACAACAATGTGTTTCTGGTTGTTTGGGGTTCCAGGTTTGCATTAATTTGCCCCTCCCACTCTCTTTGTCTCCTTTATTGCCAACCTTAACTAAGGACCTTAACTGCTTGTTTTTCAGAATTGCTCGAGGTCAATCCAATTTAGGCAACACAGGGGGCTACAGCAAACAACGGGCCGTCGTTGACTTTCTTCAGTCGCCGCCATGGCCGCTTTGCCCTTTCGCGGCGGTTTCGCTTCGGCACCAGCGACGAAGCGGCCACGTGGAAATCATTCACGCGAGCCAGAACTCCTGGTGATCACACTGGACCCAAGACTTTGCACATTGGAAGCCGCAGGTGCTGAAGGCAAAGCCTTGTTTCCAGAGCTTTGGGAGAGCATTCTTCTATTCCTCCGCGCCTTTATGTTGCTCACTGCTGGTCAAAAGGTTGTAATTTTGGGTGCTACAGCTCCAGTGATGCCCCTATGTGAGATTTGTGATGTGTACGCATGGGAGGCTGCGCAGGAAGGCGCACGGCGTGCAGCAGTAAAGTTGGAACCAAGGGCTGCTTGCCTAGCAGCCGTGCTCAGCAGTAGCCTGTGTTTAGTACACCAGGCCCAGCGGCAACAAAAACTGCAAGCTCGTGTGCTTGTAATCGATGCCTCAGCCAGTGAAGTGGATTACATCGAAGAAAGCTCAGGTTTGGTGAATGTGGCCTTTGCTGCGAAATCTCAGGGTATTCTAGTGGATTCCTTTTCTTTGGGTTCATGCCCTTCGTCTTTGCTGCGCCAAGTCTGCAAGCTGGCGGAGGGCAAGCATGTGCGACTCTCGTCCACGGAGAAGTTCGGAGAGATGGCTGCGCCTGAAGTCTTAGCCGCGTCCATGTTGTTCCACTTCTTAGCCAGCCAGGCTGGGAGGAGTGAATTTGGCTCAAGCATTTCAGCGTGGTTTGAGAGCATCATTTATGCATGGCTCATTAGCCCGCTTATGTTGATTCAGTAAGAGTGTGGATCCCCACCTGTGAAGAGCGTCCTGCTTTGCATTGCCATCCAGGTGATGCGAAAACAACTGGCCGTCGCTCCAGACCAGCAACACTTGCCGGCAGTTTGCCGATGCCATGGCAAAACGCTGGAGATAGGCCATGTTTGCTCCTTGGCACTTAACCGGACTTAACCGTTCATGGAAGAAACACAGCTAAAACACCAGCTGGAAACGCCAAACACCCTAAAGACACAGTGGCCTCCCTCTGTAGTTTTCTTTTGCATATCCCGGGTTTCTTCCTCCAACAGGAGAATACGATTTGACTTTCGCTGGCAGTGTATGTTATAGTCATAGTTATGAGTTATGAATGACCCTTTCGATGTTTCTTTGTTGGGGGGAGGGGTGATGAAGAACTGCTCCAAAATTGGGCACTGGTATGCGTTTCCGTGTGTTTCTTAGTCCTCCAGCAATCAAGCATCTCAGCATCTCCAAAAGGAAGTCCAAAGCAAATGGGGTCTTCTATGACAGTCACCTTCAGCTGCAGCTGCTCCAAGCAACTCCAAGGTTCCTGTTGCTTGTCGATCTACTGCTCCGACGCGTCAGCCATTTGTCAAACATGCGGAACTCGCTTCAAGCTGAAGAGGGATTTCGATCCCAAGATCAAAGATCTGGACCCCGAAGAGCTCGTAAGAAGAGATCAGAGCAGACTTGAGTGAAAAGAGAGCCCTGTGAAACAGACCAGTGCTGCGGAGTGCGCATTTCTATGCATTTCTAGATGCAAAGGTTCCTACTTTGTAGCAGAGAATCCCAAGAAACTGTGGTCCACTAAGTTTCATTTACAAGATAATTGTATGTGTGTGTATGTCGTGTTTGTTTTTGAGTGAATATGATTTGTATTGAATTGTATTGGGGATTGGCACCAGGGTGAACCTCTCATGCCGTACTGGATGCTCATTTGTGTTTTGAATGACTGCTGTAGTCATTCCCCGGATAGAATAGGCATTTTGTGAAAGACAATGGGAACATTGTCACTGTAACACACACACACACATATATATATATATTATAGAGACAGAAGACATTTATCATACATTCCATACTTGACCCGCTTGGGGCATAAAGCAAAGAGGGAGAGCCGAGTCCCTGCTTCCCTTCACATCAAATCTGGGAAAGTTTCCGGCATTCCTTACATCTTGCTTTGCAGTTATGAGGCCACAGTCATTCCTTATCGGCCGAGTGTCAGACATGTTGTGTAGTATGTGGTCAGCTGCCAGTGGCAATGTTGAAGGGTCTAAGAGTGGGAGATGTTTAACCATGGAAAGGTTGGTGTTCTACCATCAATTAATCACTCCAATCCATGAATATGTTGTGAACTTCATTAACATCACAATTCTACAGTTTCACGTTTGGCCAATGATCCTGACACATGTTGCCGCCCTTGCTGCGATCACCAACGCCTGCTGACCAGGAGCGCCTCATTTTCGCCTCGTTCTTGACCCAGGAGGTGCTCCCGGCACTGTGGGCTTCAGCATGAAACCGAGGCCTAGTGAATCACACGGCCAGCCAGTAGAGGAGCCATTGGCCAGCTACATCCAGCTACAGCAACCTCGGAACATGGTAAGTCAGGAGCTTTTGATTTGGAACCAGAAGTATGACACCCAACAGATCGAACCCAAGTTCTGTGCAGAAAAGTGTCCAGAACCTGGCAAGATCTGGGAGATGGGGATACTAAGAGGGTCAGCTTTGCAGAATGGAAGCTGGAGAGTAGCATTGCTTGGCATTCTGTAACCCAAAAACTCCATGTATGGAACATTAACCTACATTGACCCCTGAAACCACCCCACAGATATATGCATGCATGCGCCATACTATATGGGGTCATGAGTCATGGGGTAACATCCCATATTAGTTCCCTCTCAGCCCCTTTTGTGCTACTCTGCACGTTCGGCACTGAACCCCCCGACGGCACCCGCGAAAACCTGCCTGTTCGTCTGGACGCGCAACTCCCGCAGCCCGAGCTTGAGGAATCCACCCTTTTGGCCGGCACTTGCTGGGTGAACATTGCTTTGTTGGTTTGCCAGACATGCCCAGACGATCCATGTAAGCAAACTTTGATCACATTCACCAGCGAAAAAAAGCAACAAACGTAGGCCATATATATATATATTTATTTATATTTGTTTGATTATCACATGAGGTTACATGGAATGATCTGGATTTGTTGTTTGCTGATTTTTGCTTCAGCTGGTCGTCTTTCGGTGGTCACCTGAAAAACACCACGTCCGCACCGTCCGGATAACGTCGTGGGAAGGTGGAGAATCGCACCTATGATGAGGTCACGGATATGCAGGCGATTTCTGTGCGCCGGTTTCTTCTGGGGCGCCAGATCGGCGGTTGGCAGAGTGCTTGGCAGACGATCCATTTCTCACTTGATAGACGTATGTATTTCAATCTAACCATGTATTTCAATCTTGTTTTACTAGTTAGGAAAATCACAGCTTTTGTTGAACAAATCCATCGTCTTGGATGACCACTGCCTGTTTGCAGATGTTGCCTGAAAGAGCACTTACATCTACATGATCCTTTCATAGATTTGAGGCTTGCTGAGTAGAAGCCTATAGATGTTACGACCACTGTTTCCCTCATCCATTCTGGTGTTGACATCATGTTGCGAATTGCCTACCATGTATATATTTAGCTACCTCCTTGCGCAGCATGCCCTAAAAGCTCACTGTTTCAGTGGGGCTCATCAAATCCAGAACTCCCTTGTCTAAGGAAGCTACCAAACCATTGCAGGTGGGTCTGCAAACAACGTTGTTGCCAACTAGATCCAACTACTCTCTCACTTTTTTGGGGTTAAGGCGATGAAGACGGCCATCGAAGAATACCTGGATGAGTACAATCAGGCGCTGCAGATAGATCCAACGGGCAGATCGGGCGAAATCCACGGCCTAGCGGAGCACTTCCGGCCTGGCCTATTCAAGAGTTCATGGGTGGTTGACCGCCAGATCGCCAAAAGGGTCAGGTCAAGTTCCAAAGAGGATGTGGACTCTTGATAAACACTATAGCCCCCCTCATGACTTGGATTGGGTAAAGCTCAGAACACCCTGGGGGGGTCCAAGTTACAATCAACAGGTTTGTCCCATTGTGGATTGTCATGTCCCACTTCGCAGCTCTACAGCTGTACACCGTGCTATATAAACCCGAGAGCTGCGAAGGTCTTTTCGATCATCATGCCCTTGGTGATGTTTCTGGACGCTTGCGAGCATTGTGTGCCTTGGCTGCACATGTGCCAAACTTGGGCCGCCCAGTGCTGACTATCCAAGCCTAGGATTAGGGAGAAAAGGGCCGTGGCAGGGGCAGAGATGAAAGGATGTGGTAAAGATCACTCGGCTTTGGAATGTTAAGAATATATTGCTTCAAGAGATTTGTTTATTCTACGGGATCATGTGCTGTGACTCGCCGTGTCATGCCCCCGCGCAAGGAGACGACCAACAGCGGTGATACTTGAAGAGTTTAGAACGGAACAGAGCTCTTCACCTTCACAGATCTTACGATTCACTACACTCTTTGAAGTAAGAAATCCTGAGAGGATCCAAGCTCACCTGCTCAGCTCGGGACTTTGGTCGGCTCCCCGAAGCACGGATCCTGCTCCAGCACGGCGATCGAAGATCCGGCTCCGCAGCAGGCGCGGATCTGTCGCGTCCTTAGCCAGCCCAACGGCAACGTCTTGCTCTTGGGTGTAGGCGGGTGATCGACGGATTCGGGTTGGCGCCGCTACCGCCAAGTCGGAGTTGGCTTTTTGGGCCGGGGGGATCCAAGAGACAATTTTTCAGTGACCCGCCAGTGGTTTGAAGAGCTGGACATGGGTAGAAGAATGGGTAAAGATTCTTTTTGTCACCTCACAGGGATGCCCCAGAATTGTTTGGTTGAGGATCTCAATCTAACAATAAGCTAACCCAGGAAATTGAGGGGCGCCTCCTGGTACAGTCAACCACTGTCGAGTTCCTTTCGCTCTCAGCTGGAAGCCATTTCGGCAGGTGGCAGTGGCCGACAGAGTCTCACTCGACTGCCGGCGGCTGAGGAGTCGAAACGCACCCAGTCAGCCCGTTGAAGAATCCCGTAGCACCTGGGAAAAGAGATGGAAGAAAGTAGATTATCCTACTCAGTGGCCAACCTTTAGCCTGTTTTGGGATTGGTTTCCGGGGAATCTAAGAAAGATTATATACTGTAAAGCAGTCATCTATCGTAGACCTGTGTAGATGGCCGCATGTTGTTTGCCACAGGTGCTGCTGCGCACCCTAAAGGGACCAGTGTTCTATGTGATGTTCTGGTGGCCCCCCAAGAGCATAGCAGGTCAACATGTTCCTTGTGACTCTCATTGTAGACTGCCCTGATCATTTTGTTCAGCTGCAGGGTGCGGATGGGAGAGCAGTGGGCTTCACTGGACTCAGAAGATCCTTTGTTCACTAGGAATTGGTTTGAGGGCTTGATGCTGTTCCCATGCTTCCTGTGTTCCCATGCAGACGTGGCCTCTGGATGTAAGGAAGCATGGAAGGAGGAGGCGGTTTCGCAAGTGATGTGCCATGTGTTTCACATGGCACCGAACGCCTGGAACGACCGAACGCCTGGAACACGCTCACGACCCCTCACTGGAACGCTCACGACCACTCCTTCCCGCGATGCAGCCGCTGCGACCCATGGGTGCCTGAGGTCTGCGTACATGAATGAAGCTGATTGCTTTCAGATCGAAGTGGCTAAAGGTGGGTGAGGGACGTGGTGGGGCGGGCCCCGGAAGTAGGCGCGGGATGTGAGCTGGAAGTGTTGGAAGTGCTGGAACATGCTGGAACCTGCACCTGCACATTCCTGCACCTGCACAGCAGCCCTACACCCCTGGAACTGGTATATATATATATATATACTTCATTATACTTCCATACAATCCGGCAGGTTATCAAACGGTTGAGGTTTAGGACTGGGCATGTTCTAGGATTTCATTCACTTGGACTCGCATTTTGTTATCTTTGGTTCAACATCTTCTTCTCAGACAATGGGCCACTCTGCTACTCTACATCTGTGATGCGAATCATTGACATTATCTAACATGTCACATGTCCTACGGCGGGTTTGTCAGGCTACGGCATGACCGAGTTCAAAGATGACGTTGGGTCTCCCCAGCGAACGACCCTGCCGTACTGCGCCGACCCGGGCGGTGCTCTACAAAGCGAAGCACTACGTTGGGCCGAGCACACGAAGCACTGGTTGTATTGTGTGCGTTTTGGGGTTGTTATATGTGGCATATTCCTTCTTTGATTGTGTCAGGCGGCATTATTTGGTCATTGCGTTTGGAATGTGAAGGAAGCCAATTCAAAAAATACATAGTGGCATGCCCTATAAAGCACGTGTTCCAGCTACCTCCTGATGCTATTGAAGGTGCAGCTCTCTTGGAATGTTCTTCACAGCCAAGTTGCATTGTTAAAGAGGTTCCTGGAACCCAGGAAAATAGACTTGCTGGCCGCTGGCCATGATGACTTCTGCTGACCTTACTCATTTTTGCGGGGAGGACCCAGGTAAGTCCAGCACGCGCTTGACAAAGTCTTGGCTAAGGCATGGGGCGGCTTGCTTGGTCAACTCGACGTTGTCAAACGAAGAGGGTGATTCTGGGGCGTCAGCCAACTTCATAACAGTTATTACATGAGGTTATCCCCCGGATCCACCTACGGTGATCCAGAGGGTTTTGTGGTGGGGCATCCTTTCAAGAAGCGGCTCTGGGTCCGTCTGACTCCGCTTCGACGGTCCGCACCTCCTTGCGACCGGACCCTTCATAGCCGGTCTTGCGTCGGCTCCCGCGTCGTTGAGGTGAAGCGATGCCTCATGAAGTGTGGGGTAGAAGACAAGGACTTCGAAGCGGGTCGTCGAATGAGTCAGACATGATCACCGGCCTTTTGGCGCATCCAATTGCGTTTCTGGTTAAGCACCGGTGCATGCTTGAGGCAGCAGACCATGCGCACCTGCCAGTATTTTGACCATCTTGCAAAAAAAGAAAGCAGAATGTAGCCCGCGTGGGGTGAGCACCTAGATGGTAGGCACCGGCGCTGATTTCATTTTGAGATTCACGTTTGCATGATAGAGCTTTCCACACAGTTTGGGTAGGGTGTGGTTCGAAGAGTTTTTCTTGGAACCCAAAAACCTACTCCGCCTTTACATTGTGAGCACACGGCAGTCAACCTACTGCTTTGATCCAATCCCTTGTGGCTTATGCATGACTTGCACAAAAAATATATCCCGTCGAGAGGTTCAGATCTTCCTTTTCTGCGACACTCAGATCGTGAAAGAGGACTTTGTGGAGGCTGGAGATCCACTTGCTTCCCAAGGTTTGGAAAATTATAGCAACAATAGGCAATAGGTAACAATGGTCAAGCAGACAGCTAGTGCATTCAGCCACCAAACCACCGAACTCAAGCAATCGACGATGGTCGACGAGATTTCTTTTAATCATATTAAATGAGATCATCAACATGAATCTCAATGATTTGCCAAATGATTTGCTTTGTCGGTTTGTAGCCCCGCACTTCAAGCACCTTCTGACTGAATTCAAAACAGTTGTTTTAGACCCAAAGTATGCTATGGAAAGTCCAGATGCATCAATTGGCAGAGCAAGATGTGTTCTTGACTTCCAGCACCCATTGTGTCCCGCAGCGCAAGACATGTTTTCAAAAACAAAATGTTGCTTTGTGCTCCAAGGCGATTAACAACGTGCTCAACAGCGGAGATGTGCAGCCTGGCGGATGGCGCGGATTGCGCTGATTGAAGATGGGCTCCGTTGGGTGTGGACGTGAAGCTGGACATAATGTCACTTCTATGCTTTGTGAGGTAGCTGCAGCAGCAGCAGGAGGAGGAGTAGTAGTCGGTAGCAGTAGCAGTAGCAGTAGTAGTAGGAGTATAGGAATAGGAGTAGAAGTAGGAGTAGGAGTAGGACGAGGAGGAGTAGGAGTAGGAGTAGGATTAGTAGCAGCAGCAAGAGGAGTAGTAGCAGCAGGAGCAGCAGTAGCAGGAGCAGCAGCAGCAGGAGCAGGAGCAGGAGCAGTAGCAGTAGCCGTAGCGGTAGCGGTAGCGGTAGTGGTAGTCGTAGTAGTAGGAGGAGTAGTAGTAGTAGTGGTAGAGGTAGTGGCAGTGGCAGTGGTAGTGGTAGTAGTGCTATGTCTTGTTGAGGGCTGATGCCATCCTCAAAGTGGAGGAGGTCGTGGGAAAGGCCGCTGTGTGTTCAGCTCGCTCCAAAGCAGTCGCACGTTGGAGGGTGCATTGGACCCGCGTAGTGGATTGAGAGTAGATGGCACCATCCCCAAACAGGCGGCATATTTGGACCATTTTGGACCCCCATCCAAGAAAATATTGCGGATTCTTGGGGCGTGCGCCATCTGCTCTGAAACCACTGTATTTTTTGTAAGCGGGAGCCGGGAGCCTCAGGGAGACACCCGCCAGTTTCCAATTTGCGGAAAACGCAATCCTTTTCCGAAGACCACACCAGGAATCCCAACCCCTTTTGACCGAACTCCAGTGTTACACTGGTTTTTGTGACGAGACCTGGCCGTCGGTGATTTGGCCTCCCGAGTGGATCAGAAAACGGCTGAGGCCAAACCTTTATGCCAATGAAGACTTCGAGGCCATCTCCTCCTCCTGTCGACAGCTTTGTCAGACCGGGGAGCCCAGCGGAGATGGGGGAAGTTAATTAGGGAGTTTTGGGGTTCAATGTTTTTGGGGAGCTGGAGCCCCACATCTCCAAGAGGAAGCTGGGTCTCAGAGAGATTGTGTAAGAACTTCCAGGAGACTCCACACAAATCCCATAGAGGGGGGGACTGGGAAAGAGAGTGAAGAGTTGGTCAACACGAAGTCCAGCCCCAGGTGGAGTCGACTGGTAGTGAAATTGAAGAGCCCCGTGCTTGCCACCGAGGGTTTTGGGACCCCAACTTGACATGATCAGACCCAAGTTGAGGTGAGCGTCCACGAAAATGGTTCTCCTAGAGAGGTTTTTGAATAGATAGTTTTCAGATGCAAGTCCAATACATTGGCTCCATAGACATAGTCCGTTTGTAAATAATTCAGGTGTCCTTGTGATTCTGCATGGGCGCTTCAATGGTTGGAGGCTTCACCAATTTTCTTCAGATTGTTCTTCTTCAAGACAAACAGGATGTGGAGGTTCCCACTCGGGTGATACCAAATTTACAGAACGTGTGTCAGAGCCTAAGTCTATGCACAAACTACACCATCTCACTTTGCCTGGGATATACACTATTTATGCAGTATTTAAACATATATATATATATATATAGCACGACGTCGGAGGAAGAAGCTCAATCATTGTACAGCGAAACAGTGTCAGCATATAAAGTATAGTATAGTAAGGCAGAACACTTGAGGCAAAAACCAGTATGTGTGGTGGACTATCCGTGCGCCAACTGAAAGACTCCAAGGTCAATGGGCATGCAACCCACAAAGGCGAACCTCTTCAGTGCCTATCTCAGCCGTGAACTCAGCATCCTGCATGGCAGCCTTGGTTCTTTTCAGATGTTCGACCCCAAGTTTGGATTCCTCCGTGTTTTCATGTTAGATTTTTATATATATATAACGGAAGAATCCTATTTAATGTATTGTAATGTAATGTATGTGTGTCTTTTTGAAGAATCTATTTCATGCATGTATGGTCTATCAATAGGTATCACAAGCTGCTGCATGCTGCTCCCTCTCCAACAACGGATGCATGTGCATAGTTGGTGCTGCCAAGCCCCAAAGATAAACAACACAGCTTTTTTTCTGAGCTTGCAGAACGGTAAACTTGCTCAGATTGTCCAGTTGACCTCATATTCACTGTAAGACTAAGACTTTCAATCATAACTACTCTAACCCAGGACCCAGCTGTGTGCTTTCTTGGGCTATGAACTAACAGTGTCTTAGCTCCCCCCAAATCCCACCGGTCTTGGAGGCGCTTTGCTCTACGCGCGCCTTCTGCACGGCTCCACTCGCCGCTGAGGCCGTGTGAAGAAGAACGTCCATGTGACCTTGGCCTTCTCACCAGTGGGCGACAGCTTCCGGAACCGTCTTCGAGCCTCGGGTGCAATCCATCCCTGCAGTGGTGTTCTACCAGTGGTGACCTCTTCTAGTTGGAGGGAGGGAGAAAGAGCGTATGTCTGTTGACAAAGAAGGTGGACTGTTTTAGAGACAGAGCGTGGCTTCCAAGTCCAAGCAGGTACTATCAGCAAGGTCTAGATGTTTTGAGCATCAACGCCACTTTCTTGTGGTTTTCCACCGTTTCGGATTCGATGTTGTCAGAATGCATGCATCAGTGAATGAGTACAAACATCAAGATGTGCAAGTTCTCTCTTGCAAGTCTTGCTCTCTTTGTCCCGAAATTCCCAGCCCAAGTCTCGGGCTGCGATTCGTTCAGTGCAATGCCGATGTTTGCTGGATCAAGCCTCATCACCAAGTGGAGTGGCAAAAGAGAGGCTTAGAGGCTGCACGCGCATCGGCCCAACGCCATGCCGATTGCTGATTTAAACATTCCAGCCACTGTGAAGCCCGAAGCGCAGTGTGATCGCGGCAGTTGGCAGTTTTCTCCGGACGACGAACTGGATGATCTGCCAACGTGCTCCCCAGTGGCGAATCGCCGACCTGGGAGATATACGTGACGTGGCGATCTTGAGATCTTCTTGTGACGTGTTTTAGCTAATTACCCTCCCTGAAACAGTCGTGGAAGTCGAACCCCCTCTAGTAATATAAAACGTATTAAACACGTATTCCAAAGAAGCCATGTTCCATTTCCATGTCCATTGGAGGAAGTGTCATTGTTTGGCGCCATGCATATTTGTGTAATTCTCTTTTTCAACCCACCATGATGAGCCTATGACATCCCATGATGACTGTGGCTTCAGAAACTACGCGCTCTCTCACTGCGAAAACCAGAAACTGTATTGATTGGAGGGTTGCAGTGAGTCAGCTCTTATGTTATTCTCCTTTGATCTGCACCAGACTAGGTGGGACTTCATTGACCAGACGAGATCGCTGGAGGCCTTCCCACATGACCCTCCAATCCACATGACTGGTGCAAACCAAAGACCAGGCTGGGCCGGGGAACGAGCGGGAAGAAGGAACATGACAGTTTTGAATGCGCGTTCCATCGCAGGTATTGCAGGAATTGGTCGATCATTCTCCAGTGAAGGTAGGCGAAGAGCAGATTGGGAGAGGACTAGGTATCACCTGATACTGTATCGACCTCCGCAAGAGAAATGCCATCTCCAGGCAGATCTTGACAGTCCTGCTGTGCTGAAAAAGATTTGGCCTTGGCCTTAGCAGCCTTAGCGGTCACTTGACGACCCAAGGGCCTTATCATGCACGTGATTGCGCTAAGCTTCCCTGCGAGCTTTTGCTGCATGTGAGGTGCAGGGGGAGCTAGTTCGTTTTGACTTGGCACGGCAGATGCCACCAAGCGTTTGGCACCAGGCTGACGCGTTGGTGTAACGCCGCCTTGCTCGGCCAGTCTGTGACGAACCTTCAGCTAGTAGCCAGCTTCAGACCAACGGGGGCTCGCATTGGAACACGTCCTAAGAGATCATCGAACGTTTCAGCAGTGTATTTCGATGTATTTCGGATTACTTCAGAGCCCTATACATCTAGATGACTGCCCTAAGTTTCCCTGCACGTGAGGTGCAGGGGAGCTAATTTGTCTTGACTTGCCACGGCGGATGACACCAAGCGTTTGGCACCAGGCTGACGCGTCGGTGTAACGCTGCCTTGCTCGGCCAGTTTGTGACGAATCTTTGGCAGGATCGCCCCAAAAAAGGATGTCCGCCAATACCATGGAAGAGTTCCTAAAAACTCAACACGGAGAAACAGGGCTTGGGACACCGAGCCTAATGTCAACAAAAGGCAGTCAACCTTCAATGCTGCATAGTATGTCTTACTAGTCCATCATGGTTTTTGCTATGCATGTTTTGCTACTTGTTGCTTGTTCCCTTTTGCAGGGTGACCTGGGCATTCATTTGAATTTCTTCCGGTTCCGTGCGTGTTCCGTGCACCAAAGCACATCCAATCAGACGAAGTGGAGACACAGAGACACATCCAATCGGCTGCTAGGTCCCAGTGGAGACACATGGAGTCCTCCATGTGAACTCGCGAGCATGCTGCATGCTCATCCTTGTTTCCAACTCATTTGGTTCCTTTTGAAGAAAGCAAGCACTAGGGATCCTCGACTCTTGACGATGATTTTCAGAGTCGCGTTGCACATGTGTAGTGTGTATCCGCCATCATCCGACAAGACTTCCGTACTTCAGTCATGAGCCCCCTGAAGCATTGGGGACAGGAAGAAGTTTTGTATAGTTTTGTTGCTCCATATTACACCTCACAACTACCACTACACTCCTCACCCAACTCAGAAAAAATGATTCCACTCTCCACTTCAACCGATACCTCGGCTGCCACTCATTACAGGATGCGATGGGAAAAACATTCCTGATTCCTATCCACTTATTCTTAAAGATCTTATAGGGTCGGGTCATTTCTGTCCAGTTTGGAGACATAGGTCATAAATGGGCGAACCATGGGTAAATGTGTGTCACTATTCCATACCATGAGGCTATGCAGTGCTTGGGAACCATCGCCATTCTATCGAAGCCCAGCCCTGAAGTAGGGGATTTCTTGGCAACGAAGGACGGTGAACTGGGACGGTCGAAGTAGCGGTCACAGACTGGGACGGGACCGAAACTGACCAACCGTGGCCCGAAAGCCCGTCTTCGTGACCCGTCACCTTAAGCGAATGCCCTGGAACCTTTCCCAGATACTCCATGGGACTGCCATATAAGGCCTACATTGACCCCTCAAACCACCCCAATGTAGCTAAATATGACAGTCCCATTAGTCGTGTTTGCATAAGACATCCAACATCGAGCGCGCCACGCGAGCGCTGTCAAGGAAGCTTTCCATCGCTGGTGAACTGCTGTACCATCGATTGGCTGGGACCTCATCTAGACCGGAGAGAGAGCTCCTAGTCGGGTCGGTTGCCAGAGTACATCGTGGATTTGGAGGAGAAAAAGCACCCATATGACCCATATGTACAGCATTCACCCCTGGTCAGATGCAAGTTTGGATGAACAGTTTAATGAAAGATCATATAGACTTTGCTTTCTATCAATCAGACTGAAAGTGGACTTTGTCCTCATTGCGCCTGTTTCAGTTTCCCCTGTTCTTCACCTTCTTCACTCAATTCCTGACAGACTTCACCTTGTCCAGACTGGACCTCCAAAAACCAGGTTCCACGAGTGGCCAGCAGAAGCCTTGTACAGCGTGGCCAAGCAGCAGATCACTGGCCAGAACGTGGAGCTACCAAACCTGGAAGGTGCCTTGAAGATGCCCGGGGCCCCGGACACCGGATCCGACGGTTCGTTCGCGGGGAAGGTTCGGAGATGGTTCGGGATGAGAGGACGAACGACCGGTTGCGCGATCGCAACTGAGAGGTGGAGATGGGAACTGAGAGCCAAGGCGAAGTTCTGGAAAACATGTTCCACTTCCATCATTTGCTACAGGGAGGGCAGGTTCTTCAAATTCACAGTGACGTTTTCATTGGTTTTCAAGTGGCCAACGCGGTCCTTAAGCCACAAAGGCTTTTGCACTGTCAAATAAGCCTTTTTGTATACACAAAGCGTTCATGCATTCTCATGCGCAGAGCGGTCACGCGCAGCGCCTGCATGTAATACACAAAGCATCACTTGTGGTCACTTGTGGTGAATTGACTTGAGAGGTCTCGGTCTTCCGGTCGGGCGCCGAACTGGCTGGTCGCCTCCGAGGTTCCAGACCATTCATCAGAGCGTGGAGAGCTCGTCCAAGAAGTTCCTGCAAGCCACCGGGCGCCACGTCTATGTCGGACACTTAGGAGGGATGAAAGTGCCCAGAAATCGATGTCGGACGCTACCAGAAGCCCTGTGACATGCTGGATGCTATAAAAGATGTCCGCTGGATGCTATAAAAGGCATAATTGAATATTTTTGGATATCATTTTTCTGTGGATGTTTTTTTTGGGACCCTGCTTATGCAGATTGTGCAGATCCCCGGCACAAAATGGCCATAATGGCCCGAAGCCAGCTTAGCTTCGATCGACCCAGGTGACTCCGACCTCCTTCTTGGAGCTCCTCACCAGCTTCGTGGCCATCTTGGCTGACAAGAGGAACCAGGTTCGACACGGGATGGTGCCGCGATGATCGACCCGGCGCCGGTCGGTTGTTGGGGGGCCCGTGTCGGTGACGAGAGAGGGGTACATATATATACCCCCCGTTTGGGTGCGCGTTTGTTTTTGGGGGGGCATGGGGGGGGATGCCGTTTGAAGAGGGAGGTCAATTTCTGAAGCAGCTTGAGGTTGGAATCGGTTTTCAACCTCGTGGGTTCCAAGACATGTTGTTTCAGATGAATCTTAAAAGTTGATTCCATGTGACACAGCCATCCGTTGGAACACTTCAGCTGGCTATTCCGGCCAAACCTTGTGCCGCTGAGCGAAAGAATCCGTAAAACCAAACGCCCATACTAGGACCCACAAGGGGTGGATAATGGACACCTCTTAACCTCTAAGAGGCTATCAATAGACACCCTGGTGTCCTGAGTGGCCTACCTATACTATATATAGCCTCAACGCCTGGACATGTGGAGGGCGGTTCTCAGCTCAGGGACGGTCACTGAAGCGTCGCGCAGGTTGGGACGCTTCAACACCGCTACAGTGTGGGTTGAGACCCCAGCGCAAGCGTGACGAAGCTAAGGCATGGAAAGAGGACAGCCATCCCTTTCGAAGATGATGTAGACTGTTGATTAGTGAGTCACATCATATGACAATCAGGATTTGAAGAGGTTGTTCAGTTCAAATTAGGGGATTCATGGGGATTCCACATTACATGGCGCTGACCGGTGAAAAACGGCTCGACCGGTCCGGACCCTCCGAGGCCTGGGGAAGATTGGGGACGCAGAGCAGCAAGTGGCAGGCTTGCAGCAGATGTTGGTGGAAAAGAAGTCCGCGGCTGAGCTATGTTGAGCTATGTTGAGCTATCAGCTGTCTTTCTTCAACGAAAAAAATGCATTTCATGCGTGAGATTTCTTGCGAGGTGGTGGAGTTCCCATATGGTTTTCAAGCAGGGTGAATTCATACATCTCCAACATTACTGTAGAGGCCGACGCCTCGTTTCGGAACCTGGATTCGTCTCGTTTCGGACCCTGGATTCGTCTTGTTTCGGAACGCGGGTGAAATGGTCTCCCGAGGCTAGGAAGTGGTTTCTGGGAAGTGGTTTCTGGGGAGTGGTTTCTGGGGGCTGGTTTCTGGGAAGTGGTGTGGTTTCTGGGAAGTGGTTTCTGGGAAGTGGTGTGGTTTCTGGGAAGTGGTTTCTGGGGGCTGGTTTCTGGGAAGTGGTTTCTGGGGGCTGGTTTCTGGGAAGTGGTTTCTGGACGCTGGTTTCTGGGAAGTGGTTTCTGGGAAGTGGTTTCTGCGAAGTGGTTTCTGGGGAGTGGTTTCTGGCAAGTGGTTTCTGGGAAGTGGTTTCTGGGGGCTGGTTTCTCGGAAGTGGTTTCTGGGAAGTGGTTTCTGGGAAGTGGTTGCTGGGAAGTGGTGTGGTTTCTGGGAAGTGGTTTCTGGGAAGTGGTTTCTGGGCTGGTTTCTGGGGAGTGGTTTCGGGGGATGGTTTCTGGGAAGTGGTTGCTGGGAAGTGGTGTGGTTTCTGGGAGGTGGTTTCTGGGAAGTGGTGTGGTTTCTGGGAAGTGGTTTCTGGGAAGTGGTTTCTGGGCAGTGGTTTTTGGGAAGTTGTATGTGGGAAGTGGTTTCTGGGAAGTGGTTTCTGGAGACTGGTTTCTGGTGACTGGTTTCTGGGAAGTGGTTTCTGGGGACTGGTTTCTGAGAAGCGTTCTTTTTTTGAGGGGGTGGTGGTGAAGGCCGAAGTCTAACCCACAGACATCCTAAAGAAGCAAGGCCCTAAGCCAAGCCAAAAGAAACCGTGGCCCTACAGGAGCGAAACCCTAAGCAAAACCAAACCAAACCCTAAAGAAGTGAAGCCTTGAGTCAAACCCACAGACATCCTAAAGAACTGAAGCCCTCAACCCCCCTGAAGAAGTGAAGCCCTAAGTGAAACCCAAGACATCCCAAAGGAGCCCTCACGTGAAGGCCTAAGTCCAACCCAAAAACATCCTAAAGAAGCAAAAGAAAACCTAAAGGATCGAAACCCTAAGCAAAAAAACAGATCCTCAAGAAGTGAAGCCCTGAGTCAAATCCAAAGACATCCTCAAGAAGTGAACCCCTAAGCTAAGACCAAAGAAACCCTAAAGGAGCGAGGCCCGAAGCAAAACCAAAAGAGACCCCAAAGAAGTAAAGGCTTATCCGACCCAAAGACATCCTAGAGACGCAAAGCCGGAAGCTCAACCACATGAAACCCTAAAGGAGTGAAGCCTGAAGCAAAACAAAGAAGACTAAAGAAGTGAAGCCCTAAGCCCCTCTCCACTGAAGCCCTAATGCCAACCCAAAAACATCTTAAAGAAGCAAGCCCCTAAGGCAAACCAAACGAAACCCTAAAAGAGCAAAGCCCTGAGCAAAACCAAACCCAGCTTCGCCAAAGCACGTAATTACCACGACCATGTGCACAAAACACAAAATGTTGAGCAAGAGATGCTGTTGAATTTGTGCCAAAGACATCCTAAAGAAGTGAAGCGATAAGGCAGGCCAAAAGAGACCCTCAAGAAGTAAAGCTCTAAGTCACAACCAAAGACATCCTAAAACAGCAAAGTCCTATGGCAAACCAGCCAGAAACCCTAAAGAAGCGAAGCCCTAAGTGAAACCCAAGACATCCGGAGGGAAGCCCTAAGCAAAACCAAACCAGGCCCTAAAGAAGTGAATCCCTGAGTCAAACCCAAAGACATCCTAAAGAAGTGAAGCCCTAAGTGAAACCCAAGACATCCTAAAGGAGCCCTCACGTGAAGGCCTAATTCCAGCACAAAAACATCTCTAGACTTGCGCGGCTCACTTTTGAAGGAAGTCTCGTACAAAACGCTCGTTCTGGAGACTTCCGCGGCTCACTTTTGAAGGAAGTCTCGCACAAAACGCTCGTTCTGGAGACTTCCGCGGCTCACTTTTGGAGGAAGTCTCGTACGATACGCTCGTTCTGGAGACTTCCACGGCTCACTTTTGGAGGAAGTCTCGCACGAAACACTCATTTTCACTAGCAAATGCTACCTTCGAAGCACTACCGAATGATGCGTGTTCCAAAATGAGCCGCGAAATTGGTCTCACGCTGCAGTCCCGGAGAGCTTTCTTTTCGTTTGGGTTCCAAAGTGAGCCAGGTTCCAAAATGAGCCGTTTCTAGGTTCCAAAATGAGCCGTGTACCACTGTAGATGAGACATGTTTTGTATTGCTTTGTCCATTTCTCTCCACAGTTCGGGTTCTTCCTGGCGCGCTGGCCGCGGCCGCGCCAGCGCAGAGTTCGTGCCGATGTTGCGGGCTGGTGAGGCCGGTACTTGAAAAGACTCAAAAGGAGGTGAGTGAAATGATGGCCGGGTGGCCCAGGGCGGCGGCCGTAGCCCAGATCAGACCTTGCCAGACCCACCCTCGGAGCCTGGAGCCCGAGGAGGATGGATTCGAGAGGTTGGATTCGAGAGGTCCTCTCCTCGAGGACTACAGAGAATCTGAAGGTGGACCATGGAGTGTAAGGACTGCAATCAATCTGCATAATCTGCAATGCTGTTGGGGTTCCACCTTGCCGCTTTGGAGTATACAACTCCGAACTCTTCCAGAAACATCCGGAAAACTATATACTGCGTGGGATTGGAGGCAAGAGTTTTGCGGAGTTGTGTGCATCATGAGGAGTTGTGTGTTTGCAAGATGCACTGAAAGATGTTTCAGGGGCGGCACTAGCAGCTAGCATCCGAGCCGTAGGTCTATTAAATATGTCTTTCACATGGGGCATGATGTTTTGTTATTCTTTTGTGTGTTTGTGGTGCCAGGCGCGCAAGGAGGAGACATTTCTTTTGGCAAGCAATGCATTGCGGGGCGATCCTGTACACACGTTGAAGAGAAACTGCTTTGATCGACCATTGCAGCACCCGAATCCGTCGAGCAAGCCCAGGTGGTGATCACGAAAGATAAAGGCGAAGCGGAGGAAGTCAGCAAGGCAGGGTGTACCTACTCTCAAGAGAGCAAACACCATGTTCTTAGCTGCCCTCCTGGAAGCATGTTCCATCAATCTTCCACACTCATCGTGGCACTCCTTTGTTTCCATGAGGCAAAAACAGATGTTGTGCGAGCAGTGATGTTGAGCGCACGCTAGTGACGTCAAGCACTTGGAGCCTGTGTTTCAGACTCCGTTGCAAAGTCGCAGAGTTAAAGAGTCAAAGAAGGCATCCCTTACCGAAACTCACAAGCTGCAATAGCACGCATGATAATATCAAACAGATGTCTCAATGTCCATTATATACTGCCACTAAGTTGCAATATCTTGACCTTCGTCAGATCCAACCACCAAGAAAAAAACTGGCATGTATACCGTATACATCCGTATACCCTTTGGTTCACTACATGACATCAACTCAACCACCCCAGACCACTAGACATCTTCTTCCAGGCGGTGGCGGCTGAAGAGGCTGCAGCAGCCTTGAAGGCTGAAGAGACTCAAGCGATTAAGGACGCAGCGCTCCACCGCCGCGCGCCGTGGTCGTTGCGTGGGCGTTCGGGCACACGGCTGACGGCTGTCGATGATCAGAACCCCTGATGGCCCGGCAGGTGGAGCCGGACCGGTCCACGATGGAGCGACCGACACCCATTTTGTCCCGGTCAAGCAAGTTGTGGTGTGGACCCACAGCGATGTGATGCCAACAACGGAGGGCATCCCTGACTCCTGACTCACTTGTGGTTGGGACTCCGAATGCATGTATTGGTTTGTGTATGAAGGTGTATTTGTTTGTGGGGAGCGCATCAACGCATGGACTCAGGACCTATAGTGACCCCTTTTTTAAGAGTATGAGTTTGGCCTACCTTTTAGTTGCACATGTCCATGCAGCATAGTTTGTTTGTTTGTAATTTATTAATTTTGATGGTTGGTTTTTGTTGTTGATGTACGTACCTCATAATTACCTTACGCGCCCATGTTCATTCCAGCATGTTTTTGACACGAAGAAGAGACCCTTGGAACGCTTGGACGGAACGCAAAAAGCCGCGCTTTGCTCGGTCAGTGGCTGTTGCTCGAGCACACGGATGGTTGTTCTGCTCATGGGACTTCCTTTGTCCCTCCGCAGGACGATGCTCAGAGGGACTTGGATGAAGCGCTCCCGGCCTTGGACCAAGCGGTTTGGGACGCCCAGATGACGTCGACTCGCGACTCGCGCGATGGGTGACGCCGCGGCGAGGGGTTTTCTCGCTGCGATCGGCTAGGGGATTGCCACCTGGGGTGGAGGTTTCAATCGAGAAGCGGAGTAGAAGTCGGCTTCGCCGTCTTTTAGGGACACCACCATTTGGGAGCGTATGTCTTTGGTTCAACTTCGGCATCCCTTCCAGTCCCTTCCATCGTCGCTTCGGGACACTCCAGAGCATTTACTGAAGTCGTCTGGACGTGGATGTGGTTCTTCGGAGGTCGGTTCGGGCTGCTTCGGCAGCCCGGATAGCAAGCTATATTTGATGGGCCGATGGGCCGAACCACATCCCATTCTCACTACCAGCACCACGGATTCCGGGTGTTTCATTCATCTCCGCTACTTTGGAGGTCAGTCGGGACACCCCATGAACCAACCCCGACTGGGGGTCCAGGTTCTCACTCGTGTTGGTCATTCTGTTTGGTGTTTGGTGCTGACCCTCCCAGCCGTCGACCCCTTCAAGGGGTCGGCATCCGGCGTCGATCCTGTAGACTATTGCCACTTGCTCAGTGACCACGCTAAGTGGCATCCCCAACCTCATCCAAATACCAGACACATGTTGTCGATGATTTGCCTACATTGAGGTCCGGTGTGTTTTTGTTGGGGGTATATTCCACACATGGATGGTCTATGGACCAATCACTCCGGATCCCGACTCGGGGGGGGGTACCGGAGTTCACCTCAGGTGGAATGCTTGAAGAAACTTCGCAAGGCGGGGGGGGGGGGCGCTCCCACTGCTCGGGACCAGCGGCACACCGGGAGGGCCAGGAATGGGCGGCACGACGAAGACGAACTGGGAATTACATGGAATTACGTGGTTGTGTGCAGCTGTGTGCAGATTGAGCTCAGATTCCTCCAATTCATCCACGTTTCTCCTGATTCTTGCAAACAATCACCTGAATCAAAGAAAGCCCCTCTCGAACACCCCTCACCCCTGACTCGCAGTCACGCGGTTTGCACCGCCAGCGTTTCCGACCACCAGCGGCCAAGGAGCACATCCAAGAGGTGAAAGCCTTGGGAAATCCACCCGCGGGTGTCCGCTTGGCGTGTGAGGCTGTTTGCATTATGTGCCTTGGGCGCCACGGGGCGGTGGGAGGCGATGATGTTTTGAGGTTGTAGTCGGAGGTAGGAAGCCACGAGATGTGCAGTGAGTGATTTGGAGAGTGGCAGGTTGCCTTGGGTTTACTTGCGTTTTCTTGAGAACTACACAGGTCTGGACGCTGTCAAGGATGGTAACTATAGAACATGCCAAGTTTGGATCGTCATCAGCTCAGAGCCGTATGTTTGCATCGCATTTGCTTTGAGAGGATGTTATGATGTTCCACCGATGTCATCCGCAATCGAAGAAAACAGGAGCTGCACTCACGTTAGGGCATTGTTAATTTGGGCCTCCGAAGCACCACCGAGCAGTGGAGCAGTTGGAAGCATCCAAAGCTGTTTTTTCCGGACCGAAGGACCACCCGGCACATCGGCCGAGGAGGCTGTAAGAGTCGGTCAGAGCTGAGGTTCCAATTGAAGCCAGTGAAGAAGCCAGATCCCAACAATCCTTCAAAGAAGATCGAGGACAAACATTCCACAGCACGAGACACCTGTAGGGATGGGAAAGGGGGAGAATGGGGAACAACTTCCAGCTTTTCACCCGGTTTATACCAGCAATTCTTTGGCACAGGAATTGGAGGTGTCCCTCGTGGTTTTGTTGGTCATTGACGAGTTGAATTTGATTGTCTTCAACTAGACCCCCAAAATGAGATAGAAAGGTGGATCCCCACTAAACATGTTATATACTGGAAACCGTTTCTACTGGCATCTATTTGGGGACCACTAGGGCCGCCCTGGCCTGTGGTACCTAACTGGTCACGCGCTAGGGCCAGACGACCCAACCAACCAAGGGCTCAATGAATCAAGCTCCCCAAGCTCCAGACATGTGACCCATGATGACGTTCATATGCCAATGAGGCCAGGCCTGAGGCAGCTCTTGAGACATCAGATGGTTGTTTTTGGTTTGTGGAACTTCACGCCCTGAAACTGAGCGGCCAGGACTACTGGGAAACCTCTCAGAAGCAGGTGGGCTGACACGACCCGAAGCGCTCGAGGTATAAACAAGCGAGATGTCGCGGGTGAGATGGGAGTAACATCCTGAAACTATGGCTAATACGAAGTGCACTTCTGGAGTGTGAGTTGATTGTTGTTCACATGAGTACTTCAAGCTCCACAGCGGAAAATTAATGGACTCTCTTTATAGAGGATCTGTGGATCGGTGTTTGTGATTGCCGAGCAGTTGAGTCCAGGTCTTGGTCGATGCCAAGAAGCTCCTGGAAGACCTCATGGATTTCGACAAGGATAACATCCCGGACAAGGCCGGGTCGGGGGCGCCCCTGGGCTGAGAGGAGATCAGGCTTTCCCTAGGTATGAAGTGGTACAGAGGTTGGTGACTGGGCTTTCAAAAGTGGAAAAGTGCTGGAGATCTGGACGTGCTTCGACCCCATCAATTCCGGCCCTCCTCTCAAGCTCAATTGGAGTCACAAACAGCGCACGTACCGTTTTGATTGGCATCAGTGGCATGAAGGCTTAACGTTCGATGATGTGGTCACTTCTTCTCTGGGTAACCCATGGACGAACATGGGCAGTCCTTTTTGTTTGCACTTGGATGCTTCTACTATTCTACTGTCCAAAAGTGTGCCACCTGAGGAAGATTGGTAAATGGCCTCGATTGATTGAGCCTCTTGAGCCTCCACATCTCCGGCACTGTTGCGATCGGCCAGGTGATCGCAACCATTGGCCCCTACATCGAACGAGAGGATTTCGACCCTGCTGCGATCAAGAAGGCACCGGAGTCCGAAGGTTGATGGAAAACTCGACGTTGTTCTCGGTGTGTCCACTGGGCACGTTCGATTGCAAGCCAAGCCGAGTGTGGTTTTTTGGTGCCAAATGGGATGGCAATGAGCGAACTGCAGTGCAGATAGCTGATGCATTTAGTGTTGACTGTTTGGATGGGTCCAAGGTTGGCTATGGTATGAGGGTTGGTGCAGTTTGCATTAGACTCAGACATTTGTTAATTCTAAGACAGTACTCAATAGTGACTTCTCATGGGTGTTCATACTGCGAGATCAAAGAGAGTAGGAAGGAAACGTTTTTGATGTTTTTTGATGTGTCCAATGCCGCCAATGACTTCTGGTAGGTTTAGAATAGCGTAGAGGAATAGTGTAGAGGGGTTTTGTTGTCCTTCAGCAAAGTTACCCACGCAGACACTTGAAAGATGCGGACAGTTACACCTTCCGACGCCTGGTTTGTCAATGTTTGTCATGAACCTGCCCTGTTAAGTCAGCCCATTGCAAGTCCAAGGGTGACCACAAACATAGGCGTTTGAGGTCTACTACATGCAGTGAGCCACTTGGAAATCAGCAGAAACCAGTAGTTTCAGGGGTACGGTAAGAGGGATGAACCGTGACGAACCGCACCGGGGCATCCCTGACCACCTGTGAGAGAAACATAGACATTGGGGAAGCATCCTTCGCCGCATGCGGGTAGCGCTGCTTAGATTGGCCAATTGGACATGGCCTGCATTAGGATTCATACATAGTATATATGCCTACTTAAGGATCGTTTTTGTTGGGTACGCGGAAGTCTTATCGTTTACCATGCACGCCCATTACTGGATACATGTCATTTCCAGAGACAGTGTCTCATGGATTCAGGACTCATGCTAACAGAGCTGCTAACACATCCATATGGCTACTTTCAAGAACTCTGCAATCTTTTGAGGATTTCCTCTTCCATCCTCTTCCCATTTTCAGGTTTTGCCCGGCTTTTGTTCTTCCCGTTGGGTTCTTCACAGCTTCCTACGGTGGACTCGTAGGCCTCGGTGGCTTGCGAAGCCCTGTGCTTGTGGGCCCGGCGGCCCAGACGAGCCGCTGATGACGAGACGCGGGAGCCCTCGGAGCCCTCCCGTTTCGTCGGTGCTTTTGCTAAGCAACAGAGACCGTGGCCGAAGTCACTATGAAACAAGGTCTTATGTATGCATGTATGCTATATATATATATATTATCTATATTTAAGTTACTTTAAATTTATATGTCTGCTATATGTATATATAGTCATGTCAAGGTGATTTACATGGTTTTTGCAGCATGTGGAGTATGATGTCACAGGAGTTCTATTCGGAATTGATCCGCAAAAAGTGCAGATTGAGCTGCCGCGCGGCGTTCTTGCTGGCTGGATCATCCCACAGCAATCCGAAGGTTCCAGGGTGGATCCCAGGCGCCTGTGTTGGATTTGACGTTCCACGGAAGAAACATTTTGGCGTCCTGCACTGTGTCGTTGGATTCCGGGGAGGCTCCAAGCCTTTGTCGAGAAGATGAGAAGAAGGGTAGTATCACAGATTGATGCCGTCAGTTGAAGGCGTACCCCCCAATACATTGAAGACCGCTAAGAAGCACAGTTGATCATGGCAAAGAATTGGATTCTTGGATCCCAAAACTGGAGACCTCCAATTAAAGAGGCAGCCGATATTAGCGACACTTCGGCCAGCTTAAAAACAAATTGGGACCCGACCCGCTCTATCATACTTGTGCTTTTGTCTTCATAAAACAACTCCTCCGCGAAACAGCGCCGTTTGCCCTTTTTCGCACCAAAAAGGTGCGGGCCATGTACAAGTACCACTTCGTCGCCAAAGCCGTGGAGCTGGGGCTCCCAAGGTTGACCAACCGGGCGTGTGGACCACGGAAGGCATTTGCAGCATCCAGCATTGGGAAATCACGGCAACATGATGCAACATCCAGCATTCCAGTTCCCAGTGGTCCTTTAAATCCTAGATTCTCAAACAACATGAAAAGGCACGACCACTGCCCTCGGACATGTCACCAAAACGCCTAAGATCTTTGAGAGGACAACGGACGAGCGGATCTGAGGGACCTTGTGGTTTCTTCGTATTTTGGCCATTCTTGCTGTAAGACTGATGGTAGATGATGGTAGATGTATGATGATGTATGTCTTCTGGATTCTGGATTCTGGAGTGCAACTACCACAGCTACATCCCACCGGATGTGTTTACACCCACTCCCGGAGCGGTTTCTTCGCTCAGGCCGAAGCGTCAGTTGTTGAAAAAGGCAGAAGCAGAGCTGGCTGAGTGCCAGGAGCTCTTACCACTGCGGGTTAAGGTTTTGTGGGAATTGGTGGCAGGTAATTACTGTTAATTCGCCAGAGTGGGTCAAGCAGGTTGCAAGAGAATTTTGTTGCCTCGCTACTAGAATCAACTTTTAGCAGAGGAATGCCGACCTTTGACGGCGGTCGGAAATGGGGGAGATGCGGGAGGGTGATGCCAATGCGACTGCCCCAACCACCCAACCACTTTGGATGACTTTGTCCCAGTCCTAAGCTTCCGATCAAGACGAGCTGCCTCAGTGAAGGTTCCCCGGCAAACAGGTTCGGTACTTCTTTGTCCTGATCATCCGATGATCATCCTGATCTACTTGAAAGGAAGGTTTAGGAATGATGATGCTTTAGGTACAGGTTCCCTATGTAACAGTATATAGATGGCACAGCCATGCACAGCCCATGGCAATGACCGCGCTCCAGGAGAAGTTGGACGCTGCACAGTCCAGGTTGCGTGAGGTTCAGAGCCTCGGCCTTCAACGAGCCACGCACCACATCGAGGGTCCAAAATCCGCTGGACAGAGCAACAAGCAACCAAGAAGCGCTCCTTTGGAGGGCCCGGACTGCAGAGCTGAAAGCACTTGGTGTTTGTTTTTTGTGTGTTCTGTTTTTTCATGTGTTTGTGTGTTGGTTTTCTGGCACAGGTGGAGTTCCTGTGAAGTTTTCGCATGTTTCTGGACCTCAAAGATGGTAACAGAGGGCCTCATCGGACATGCTCCAGGCACAGCAGCATCTGGAAAGACTTACTGTAATCTTCAGCATTCATTCATCGCTGATGAGTCTCTCTTAAGACAAACTCGTTTAGTGCCTGAAGTCAGCTTAGTAAAGTCCTTTTCAGCTTGGCCAGCAGGTACGTTCAGCTTGGCCATGGTTTGTGATGATAAACCGGTTAACATGGGTTAACCTTCAGACAGCTGATGTCAAGCAATCGTTCGAACACTATACTCCTGGGACTCCTGTTTGGCTTAAATTAAGGTGTCTTTGATCGGAGATTTATTTGGGTTTGGACTTTAATATGAGGGGACTATGTCTATGTACTAGGGGGAAGGGCCTTAGAGGATGATTCTGATAGTGATTCTGATATTCTGTTCATCTGCAGTGCACTTTTGCGAAGCTTCAGGCAAGCAGGAACCTGAAAGCCACTAGCTTGTAAAGGTAAATAGTCTTCCAAAGGTCCATGTTCAGGTTCCATGTTAATCTTCCGGGGTGTAAGATCTTGCTTCTACTCTCCACGATCGATCTGAGCGATTGCCCTTTTCCCCCTTCTGAGGAGCAAGATCGAAACCCTCGAGGCCGACCGAGAAAAAACGAAAACTGGGCACTCGATGACTCGGTGATTTCTCTCCTATACCAACTGAGTCATCCTAGGACCTAAAAAAAATAGTTTGAGATAGTTTGAGTATGTGTGTTGCATCTATCCTAAACATGTAATTCCTGACTTTTTTAGACGTTGCTTCTTAGCCAGCTCATACTCCTAGGTGTGCTGAGACATGTTAAAAGTCTTCTTTTGCCAGTTCAAGACAGAGTTTGTGTTTGTGTGGCTCAGCACGAGTGTGGGAGACCTTCATCATGGGGGGGGAATTCCCCCCGCTGCCCGCTGTGTTGAATACAAACCCAGCCAGGAGCTTTTTTTCAGTGTTATGTGTCCGAACTGGGTGGATTTGTTTGTCGCCGAGTTCGCCCAGTGACGGTGCCGCAGGCGGAGTTTAATGCTGCCGTGCAGAAGCAAAAGGACTGCGACTGCTGGAGAAGCAGAAGAGTGAGTCGACGAGCCTCCCGGGAGCCGTATCACTGTGCATCTTTTTCAGGGGTGCATATGAATCACATGTTGGATGCCTCCACTGAAACTCGCCAAGAGTTTGACCTTCAGGAAGCCCTCCCCTCCCCTCATGTCACATCACTTCTCTCCTTCCTTTGGCGACAGCGCGACAGCGCCAGGAGCTGCAAGATGACATGAACCTTTGTGAGGTGAAGCTGCAACGTGCGCCGGGCGCCCCAAGAAGCTATGCCCAACGAGCCGGGCCGGTCTTGGATGGATGATCCAACAGTGCCATGCGGCACCAGTTGGGAGGAGTTATATATTCAGGTTCACCCTAGGGCTCCAGTCGGACCTTCTTAGAAGGTGGGACTCGGGTGGGTTTAGAGGGTCCAAATACCTTCTATATATATTATATACCTATAACCTCTTCTTCGCCAGAAATTTCTGCCTATTATGGGTAAAGGCGACTTTGCCCGTGCTTAGGCGTTCTTGCCCCCTGTAGGCGTTGTTGCCCCCTTTAGGCGTTCTTGTCCTTTTGGTGGCATTGCTCAAATAGATGAGGATCCACCCACCACTGATTCCAGGAACTTTCATAGTGAGGTACATTTGTTTGTCAGGAATTCACTTAATGTTTCTCTTGTGATCTCTTTTGTATGTTTTTAGTTTTTCTATGCTTTGATTCATTGCTTTAATATCTTTTTGCGTAGGTGTTCTTCCTGTCACTTAGGCGTTCTTACCCGTTACTTGGGCGTTCTTGCCCGTTACTTCGGCGTTCTTGCCCGTTCCCCCCTCACTACAATCAGTAGTTGGGCGGACAACGGAATGGTAGCCTTTTGGGGGCAGTGAGCGACATGAGTTTCAATAACTTTGGACTGGGGATTAGCGTCAAGTGGCAGGCGTTTGTTTTCTCAATTCTCGTCATTCAAATTCTGGCTCTGCCTCCTGCATGTAAGAATGCATGTGATTGTGCCTCGGCGTTTTTGACCCTCGAGGCTGCAGCTTAGGCGTTCTTTGCAAAAACGGGCTGAATTTTCTGCCTAAATGGTGTTGGGCGGAAATTATTGCCTAACGAGGTTCTAGGTATGCGAATATATGTAGAGGTACTTGGACCTAGGGTCACCGAGAGAGAGAGAGAGAGAGAGGAAGGAAAGGAAGAACACTTGTGGCGAGGGGATCCCCTAGAATCTCTCTTGCACTGTAGCCACAGTATTTGGAAGCGTTATCAAGGATGTCAAGGCCACGGCCACTTCAGCAAAACTCATGTCGAGAGGAACCTTCACCGGCCCAGATAGGGAAATTCACGGCATTTGGTGAATTTGGTGACCTGTTTTGGTTTACCCACCAACCCCAGCCAGCCTTTGGTTGCACCCAGGCATAAGCTCATCAACGGCTTGGGCGGGGAGAAAGCCCGCTGGGGACAGAACGTCAAGGACGAGCCCGCCCATCCACCGCCGTCGTCGAAGCGAAGCGAAGTATCGAGCCAAGCGAGTCGGGTGGCCTGAGTGGACTCGGGTTTGAGCCCAAGGATTTGAGCATGGTGCGTGAGACGTGGGTGCATGAGACGTGGGTGCATTCTGTATTGTTGCGTTTTTTGGGGTCCACCTATTCTATCCTGTTATATAATTCTGATAGTCAGAGGATGTCAGTGGGAGTCAGCTCATCGGTTGAGACCGCGAGGCAGAGAAACAGATCATTCAGACCCTGAAACGGAGCATTTTAGCCGCCTTGCAGCGCCAGGCCAAAAGACATGTCTTTGGATTTGTTGGATCTCTTTTTGGGTTGCTCGGATTCATGAGTTTCATGTGTTTCGTAGAGAAGCTGCAGGGGATGCGGCACTAGATGGATGCCCGGAGATATGGATCCACAGTGTAGCACACCTCTTAGGCAGTCTTAGGCCCTGCACTAAGAAGGCCGCACGGCTTAAACATTGGCAACAACAAATAATAGGTGAACAAACATGAGGAGACTGTAACCTGTAAACATGGTGTGTTTTTGCGGTTTTTGTTCGTTTGTTTGTTCGTTTATTTTTTCCCGGGGAGGCCCGAATCAGATTCCTCAGATCCGTCACGGATCTTCTACCACCTGGAGTTCGTCCACGCTTCATGCGCAGGACTTGAACGCGCAGCTGGGGCTTTTGCCCGGCGACTGTGTGGTCGCTGCAGGGATGGTCTCCTATGCCTGGACCACCAAGTGATGGGTGGATGAGTGGAGAACTGGGGAAAATTGAGGAAGGACAAGGCGAGATGTGGGAGAACTGTCCTGAAAACCGAGAAAATCTGAACTCTGTACAGTTCGTCATGAAACATGTGTCTTTCAGTATGCATCCCTTATTGTCACACTTTGACCGGATCACCCCGAAAACAACGACGACGCACACGTCCCCCCGAAGGGGACGTCTTTTGCGCCAAAAGGCGGCGCCAAAAGCCGACGGATCCCGGTGCCGCGCGCTGAGGCAGGGCCCTTCACGTCGCAGGTGCGCGGGGAATGCGAAGAGCTCTGGCGGAGCGAGTTAAAGGTGCTGGAGATGCCACACACCAAAGGCACGCGGGGAATGCGAGCAGGACAGAAGTGGGGAGGGGTTGGACACTGGAGGTGACACCAGAAGGGAGGAGCAGTGGCTGTGATCCTCACGGGATTCCACGTCTTTTGTATGTGATAGGAAGCAAGAGAGGGAGGCAGGGAGGGAGAGACAGAGAGAGAGAGAGAGAGGGAGACAGAGAGAGAGAGAGGGAGAGAGAGAGAGAGACTGGGTAGCCCACAGATAAATCACTGTTTTGTGAATCCTGTTGATAGTTTGATTTGGTCTACAGTCTACAGTGAGGAGACAATTCCAACTTGACCATTGAGCCTGCACTGACCGATCACTGACCTATTCAATGCATTATTTTAGACATATACAAACCCTCGCATTCATTGACCTTTTGCTGGCTTGAGTCTTCTCACAATGACAACGAAGACCATTTTGGACCCTTTTGCTCAACTTATTCCTAGTTACGGGTTACGAGTTGAAGTTTGAACTGTGAGAATTAGGCATGAATCAGCATTCCCAATATGCCCAGAGTCTGGGCATTCATTGAAATGAGGCTATAGCGAGGTATTGGAGCCCAATGCTGCAGAGGTGTTGCCATGTGCATGTTTATACTATACTATACCGTGTGTACACTTAAAGAAAATGGGAGAGGATCAATCCGTTGAAAAACTGGGGCTATGCCGAGCCTGCACATGCCAGGCTGCAGCATGTCCACCGTGCTGGGTGATCCAGTGAAGATTCAGCAGCCTGGCAAAGTTGTGGAACAAATTGGTCATGATACAATATGATACAGTAGGCTTTTGCGATAGAAGCCTGCTGCAGGTCAATGATCTCATCTCAAGTTTGGCCTAGATATGCTGCACGTACTATATAATATGTTGCTGCGTTTGCAGGGTGCTTGCACTTTTGATACTTCTGTTTAGCTATGAACACATGAGTCTAATATGAGCAATGTGTGATAGTGTGTGCAATTATGTGCATATATAGATGCATGTAGAAAGGTTGTTGGCAGTATTGCAAGGGGACATGAAATGCAACAATGAACTGTTCGTAGTAATAAACAACTTTAATAATTAAGTTTCATCAAGACTATATACAAAAGTTTGCCCAGAGCAGCTGTGTGTGTGTGTGTCAACACCTGTTTCTAAGGAAGATGCATCGAATAATTCACCTCTGGTGGTCGAAAAAACAAGTAAGAAGCAGGGGGTGGAGACACCGGTATTGCTTCTCCACCAACGAAGCTGGCAATACCCGGTGAGGATATCAGTTCTGGACGCGAAACTGACGTACCTGCAGCACATGTTTGAACTATTTTCAAGCTGTCCACTACGGTGTTTTGCAGTAAGCGGCTAACATTTCTGTTGTTCCGGACTTCTTCACCTTTCCGTTCCCTCAGCCAAGGTCTAATTGCGTGTAAGGGTCTAATTGCAGTAAAGAGAACCTTCGTCAACTGATTCAGCTCTTGCGAGCATCAATCTAAGTGTGTCGTATGTCCCTGGTTACTTTTCAGTGTTCAGACTTTGGAACTATGCTCACTTACGGAGCCGCAAAGTGTCACTGAGAAGCATGACTGTTTGGGCATGTCATGTCGAATTGTCACTGCAATGCGGGCTTGGAAGTCTACAGCAACAGGAGCAAGGGTGTCAGGAAGGTAAGCACGGTTTAAGAGTGGACCAGTTTGCCCTGAATGTGGGCTGGACCACCCAAGGAACTGCCGAGAAGGCCATTTCCCTCATAAACACGACCACGAGCAGCCTCGATTAGAAACATGGGCAGACATCCCAGACCAACGGAAACCTGATATTAATCAATTAATTGCACTTAAATCCCAGCTCCATTGTGGTTGCAAGCTTGGTGTGTTAGGCAGTGGGTGGTGTGTGCACTTCCCAACGACCAGCTGTCCATCGAGAACGGCATCATTATTGACAGAGCCAGGCCGGAGTCGCATGGCACAGCTGCATTCGATCCACTGACATGGTGGCATGGAAGCTGATTTGTGACTCCGGATTTGGCCTTCTTCCGGAACTCAGCTCACAGTTCTTGACTGTTGGGTGACATGTTTTGTTTTGAACAATAATTCTGTCCTTCCCCTATCAACTTCCAGATCCGAAGGAAGCACCTCAGGATCCGAAGGCTATCGTGAGTTTTCGGTTGATCAGCCAGGGGTGAAGCAAAGGACCCTCCGTCCTTTTGTTTCAGGATCTTTTTAGAGGATGCCGGGTGCCTCCCGAACTCCGGGGGTTCCGTATGTTTCAATCACCAGCTACTCCACAGCTCTGCACCACTGGGCATGGTCGCTCGGACGACCCGCTGGAGCGCCGGACGAGGCGTTGGCCGTTGATGATCGATCCGCAGCGACAAGCGAACAAGTACATCAAGAACATGGGCAAGGCGGGCCATGGACCACGTGATGTCGGGCCGAACATGCTCGGAGATGGGAGATGGGTGGGGGGGGGGTTCTGGCCGTAGGTGACAAGCTGGGAAGTTGTGATGAAGACTTGCTGAGGGTCACTTTGTGATCCATTTGGGGTAGGGGTAGGGAACATGACTTGCACACGAGGGACGTTCAAAAGTATTCACAGTCATTGGTTTGTTTCTTGCTCTTCGCCTAATTAGACCTTTCGTAGTCTTAGTTGTGAGGGGTGATTCAAAACAAACACATATATCAATCAAGATCATGACTGCAACATTTGGTTTTAAAGTCTGATCTCAGCGTGGCTGCCATGGCAGCCATGCAAAACCCCGCCGGTTTCCCCTAAACCAAGCTTCAGGAGACGGAGACGGGCATCGATGTGTGCAAACTCAGTGAGAAGAACTTCTTGCGAACGCCCGGGGCACAGGGGCCACGTCCTTCACGTTGTCCTTTGATGGACGTCGGACGTGGCGGTCGACGGCCGTCGTTGTCGACCGTTGACCGTTGACCGGTACCGTCCGGGACGGGACCGGAGGAGTTCAGACTTCCATGATGAAGCAAATGAGTCATCATGAGCCAGGTCCTTCTCTTCATGGTGGTTTTTAGACCCATGTCCTCAATCAACAGCTTACCTGGAGTCTGCCCCATAACCTGTAACAGTTGGTAAACAAGAACATCACTATGTTAGAGAAAGATCATCATCATCATCATCATCATCATCATCATCATCATCATCATCATCATCATCATC